GGCTTTTAGGGGCGTCTTAGCGGGAAAATAATCCTCATATAGTCAGTCAAAAGGCAAAGAATCATTTAGTCAGAACCATTTGTTAAGGTTTGGTGGCTCAGGTTTAAACAATTTCCTTGTAATTGCTTGGACTAACTTTTTAAAGCTTTGAATTTTACATTTAAGCTCTTGTCATCTTGGATTTTTTGGAACTAGAAATGACCAGCAAGTGGCCGCAGTGTGAATATGATGAATCAGGAAAAGTTCATCACAATGTCTGTTGATATCAGAAAAGCACAAGTTCACTAACTCTGTCATCGACCTTTGTAAGAAACTGACCATGCAGACGAAGCCTCAAATCATTTGTCTTATAAATATTATTAATGTAGCGTTGCATGTGATGGTCCAGATGTGCAGAGAGCAGAAGAGGAAACAGTCTGCTCAAATGTCTGCTCAGGGAACAACAGCGTCCAGACTCTTAAGTCGTATTTCATTATTTGATATGATATTGGTCATAGAAAGAGGAGAGGAAGGAAGTATCAGAGCGTGCTATCTCTGGCACAAGATTTGGTCACTTGATGTCTGATCTCACTGGAGCTGAGGGGGAGATCAGCAGTCACGCCTGTTTGTTCCTCAGTCAGCACCCACCGGGCCGCAGCCTGCAGCCAGCCCGGGATGTGACCTCACAGCTCGTTACTGTGCCAAGGCAGTCGTCCCTGGGTGTTTAAAGAGGGCGTGGTTGGGTTTGTGCATGTGGTGAGCTTACAATTATTCACACACAACATTGTGCTGGTATATGGAGCCACAAGTCATTCATTCACTGTCTTTCTCTCTGCCTCTGTTTGTCCCTCCTGTCATAAATTGTGAGTTCCTCCTGTGAAAACCTGCATCCTGCTCCTCAGCTCCAGATGTGCTTAACGGCCTCTCTGGGCCACAGAAAGCATCTCAGAGATACGGAGGCCTTTTCCACCTGCACTGACTCATTATTGACCCCACTGTTGAAGGGTCATTCAATCAAAGACAAGATCCAAAATCACTGCAGAGAATGAATGCTTACTAAGGCTGAACTAAACTCAGAATTTTGTCAGTCTAATCAGATTTGGCTTTTCAATATGAAGCCTTTGTTAAACTAGGTTTCCTACTTATTGATGAATGAAGTCAAAAAGGCCAAAAATAAATCTTTTAAAAAAAATTCTAAATTAATTTTGCCACTTACAATCATTATGTCAGATTATGTTTATTAGAAAATTACACTTCCAAGGTATGTTGGTAAATGGTAACAATCTTGTGAACAATAAGCTTTAAAGGAAAAGTCCTTAAAACAAGTAAAGTTGCAGGAAACAAGCCAGCAGTAGCTCGGTGCACGGCCCCTTTCTGACGTCATCTGTCAGACGGATAATTCAGAGAAAAGATGCAGATTTGTATGTTATTTGCTTTTGTAATGTTGCTATTACTACCATCTTAATCACACACTTTTTGTTTGTTTGTTTGTTTGTTTGTTTGAATTTGTTTGTTTTGTCTTTGGTAGCAGGAGACCTCTGCTGATATTTGACTGTCAGACTAACAATATACAGGACAACCCAGGTCCCCTCATGATGACTCTAATTATCCACTTTTTCAGGACTTCCCTATCTGCTGACATCCATGTTTGCAAAGACATTCACCAATCGTGCTCCTTAGTACAGTCTCATGTCAGTTTTCCCATCTTGAGCCATGGTTTTTCCACATACTTTACTCCCTGTTTTAATATTGTATTTGATTTATTCTCTCCACCCTGGTCACTCATAACTATGTCGTCATGTGCGGTGATATACAGCCCCATTAATACTCCCCTCTGGTCTGACTGTGGGACCAGGGCGGGTCGAATCATGCTCCAGAAACTCAACTCCTGCCAGCTCTTAGCACGTTAAGAAACATTCAGAAGAAACATCAACACGGTCCAGAGGCATCGACTCAGGCTTCTTCAACCAAATTGGAAGAAAAACTTCAGTTCACTTTGCAGCTCTGAGACTGTTTAGGGTGAACTCCAGCTACTACTGTCATTCTGTTTATTTATGAATAAAGATCTCACTTCTAAAATAGCACCTGCGGAAATCTTGGTGGGGCAGACTCTGCAGAAGAGTCATCCTTTTGAAACCAGAATATAAATCTGGATGTAGAAATGCAGTTCTTCTCAATTGCTGCATGCATTGATCATTAATATTGACATGGACCTTTTTTTTTTCAAACCTCTTACCTTCTTACAGTTCTCATTAAAAACATGCATAACATAGGTTACCTCACTTCTGTGACTCAGTCAAATCTGCAAAATCTATCATAAAAAAAGAATAATACTATATCGTAACACATCGAATCATATTGCATCCAATCCAGCTTTATTTATAGAGCACTTTTATTTTAACTCAACATTTAGTAAAGTGCTTTTGCAGGACACAAAATAAAGTGGTTGCACATAAATACCAAATAAAAAATACATAAAAATAAATTACGAAAAATGTAAACATAAAGGAAGATAAAGCAGTAAAATACATAAGGACAAAGACCACACCACCGTCATTCAGAGTAGAGGCCGAGGTGTCAAAGTCATTTTTAAGACCAGATTCAAAAACAGGCAGTGTAGCAGCCAACCTGACATGTATAATAAAGCATCTCATCACATCACATCACATCGTATGTAAAGCATATTAAAGGTCTTTTTCTTCTTCCTATAAATCAGTATTTCAGCACCAAAAAATTGCTCCCTTTCCCATTATTGATTCTAACATTGACTCTAAAGTATTTATTAAAAGACAAAGCAGCGTTTATTTCCTTTACTTCTATATTTGTAGCATTGTGTAATTAAATTGTATAAATAATTTTATAACTCCTGAATCTCCAGTGTTGCAATAATTGTCAACCCAATAAATTAATATATATATATTTCTTTTTAGTTGCTGCAGATTTACTGTTTTTTCTGTGAAGTATCTGTGGAGAAAAAATAATCCGTTCTAGAGAAATTAGGTAATTTTCCTTCTTTGTGTAAAATCAATGAAATATGATTCATTGATTTGCTCCATGAATTCTTCTGTTTTGCAGGCTGTGTGAATAGTTTTGATCATGTGACTTCAGTTATTGAGAGATGCAGCATGTTAGCCATCAGGGGGAAAAAAACACATGTTATGTTTGTATTTGGAGAGTGTGAGTGCAATGACAGCAGGGATTATTACATTTCTGCCCACAGAAGAGACATAAACAACCTTTTTCTCTCTCATCTCCATCCCTCCGAGGTCTGCGGTCAACCACAGCACACCTAAGCAAACAAACCCCTCCACCCACCCCAGACTCAAAGAACTCACAGAGCTACAACTGAGCTGAGACAGCATCTAAAGACCCCCCCCTCCTGGTCGTAACATGGTAGCAGGGAGCTGGACTGTGTCTCGGGAGGGGAGCCAAAACCTCACTGAAAAGCTTCAGACCAGACAAGAAGCTCATTGTGTGAGAATGTGATGAGGAGGCATGGAGGAAATTTACAAGATGTGGAATTCTGCATGTCCTTCACATTTTTCCAGATATACTCTGCCAGAGCAAACGGTTTACAAAGCATATGTTGTTTATGTTTGTAAGGATGCACATAATTTTCCCTCCATTTAGGTAAAAGCATGAGATGACAACGTGTCTTTGCTGCTATTCTTCATTCAGCATCAAGGATATTTTGTATTTAAAGCATGCTATAATCACTGCAGCTATAAACCGTAGACTGTTTAAAACATGGTTCAAATAGTCTACCATGATCTTTAATGGCTGAAACTGCTGGTATGTGTCAGACAGTGTTTAGTGTATAATGCTGAAATAGCCTCTTTTTTTTTAGATAAGTGAAACATTTGACTGTGAAAAGAAAGCCGGATGAGATTTTTTTTGAAGAACAACAGTAACACATGAACAGGAGAAAATTCGTACAGAAATACAAGGTACTTCTTTGTCAACAGGGGTCGCCAAAATAAATGAAAAAAACCTCACTGGAGCCACATCTCTTTTACAGAGTGCAGAAGTTGTCAGTGAGTGAACTCTTGGGGTCTAAGAGGTCATTTTTGGCCTTTTAGAGCTCAGTGTCTGCTCTGCACATCCAGCCTGAGTTCAGATATTAGATACGGTTTAAACAGCCTGCGGTGTGATGTGCTTGTTTGGTGATGCAGATGGGTGCAGGACGGGGCCAAGCCTGGAGAAAAGAAGAAGCTAATTAGAGAGCTGATGATACTGAGACAAGTTAATGAAGCATCACTACTGAGGTTAAGCTGCAGGGCTCTCCTCCAGGATTTAATTCAAATGTAAACATGCTGCTGTGCTGCACTACACACATGGATGATGCACAGTGACGTAGTTAAGACACACTTAAGTTAATAAAACTTTTTTAAGTCCTCTTTTGGTTTGGGATTTTTTTCTGTGCATAATATGCAGTTTACTTGCAGAAGCATATTTTGCATTTTATGTGTAGAAAAGTGCACTGTATGGCATGTGCACATGTTTATATTTTGGTTTGTGTATGTGAGACAGAAACATGATATGTTATTTTTAGTTTCACATATAGTGCATCTTGTGTTTGAATGGGCATTCAAAAATTGTTTCAATCACTGCAGTTTCCTTTAACTCTTGGGTTCTTTTTGATGGGGTAACAGCGCCCTCTAGTGTTAAGACAGGGTACTAGGAGCTCTGCAATGTCAGAAAATGTAAATTGGGTGAATTATTCAGCCGGCCCTGAGGTGAAGAATAACTGCAGTGGAATCTTTTGAAGGGTCAAATACAAAAAAAGATCATTCACAATTTCTTTTAAATAAATTTACATCTCTTATCTTTCTAACTACATAAATAAGTTATTTCATCTTTGGATAAACTTTATAAATTATCATCCAATCATGACTTTTTTTTTGTAAAGAAAAGCTGTCATTCAAAACCTTGCATGGTATTGACAGGTTTTACTACAGTTTACATAAAACATCATCCAACCTCAGTAAATATAGACACATTAAACAAAAAACTTTAAACAGTTTGGTGCTAAAAAACTCAAGATTTTAATTTATTCTTAAAAATAATAATCATGAAAAGGCACAATGAATCTGCTGATCACACAACATCAAACCATAGTTAAAATAACAGAAGTTCAATTCAAGCCTTTAAGTACAGAAGTGATGAATATGATCGTGTTAGAGGGGTTATGAAGAACAAAAGTTATAATGGAGAAAACAAAATTCATAAGATAACCAAAATGAATGCAGACATCATCTACTGGTCCTATTCTATTAAAAGATAACAAAAAACTGATATGAACAAAGATGTCCGCCCTAAAAAAAGAGAAAAAGTAAATAGTATCCACTAAACCAGAAAAAGGTGGTGGACAGAAAAACCTCAGGTCAAAGACCAGCTTAGAAAAAGACATAATTAATGACGGACTTTAATTCATGACAATTTAATGTTTTACAATTAAATAAAAAAATAAAACAGACAAGAAACCTGCAATCTAAAATCTGTTAAATGAACTAAAACCTCAAAATATCTTATCTCAAAGCACATTTCAGAATATAAAACAGCACCAATCAAAAAATAACCAATGACTCAAACCTGAAATAATTATGACTGATATCTATCACTCAAGTACTGGAGGAGTTGCAGTGAGCACCATAAGTCCTAAAGGATTCAGCTACTAAATAATAGAAATAAGAGGAGTAATCTTTCAGACTAACAAAGTGCTACTGTGCAGGTTCTAGTTTAAACATTTTGGTTTCTCAGGATCGCAAATATTCTGTTCTATCTTACAAAAAATAAATGGACAAGAACCTAAAGTAAACTAATACAAGTGTTCAAAGAGCTGCTAGTCCAAACATGTTTGTACAGCAATGTTTCCACTACATGAACTTTCCTCAGGGACCAGAACCTTTAGAGGAACTCAGTCACTTTAAAGGACATTCAGTACATTTATATGCACAGTTCAGTCAAGCTACAGTTATAGCTCGATACAAGTAAACTAGTGTCTACTTGTATACTAGTACAAGCACCGAGGGGGAAACGATTTATCGACCATATGTCCAACTCCACAATAGTAGGTGGTTTAACCTTTTACGTCACACACTAAAAAAAATTAACAAACAAGTTAGCAAGGCAGATTGAGGTGTATACATCAAAGGGTGATCAGGGACAACATTTTAGACCTCCCCAAAAGGCCCCTTCTCTGGGGTTTAACTGTCCAACAACAGAGGATCTTTGAGGCTGGATACATCGTCTGTTTGTTACATAAAGAGAGGTGAACTGGGAAAAAAGAATAGTGCGGAGGCTAAAGTCCCAGCTGCTTTAGATACATTTAAAAAGGTTAATAATTGTATTTTTTCCCCATACATCATCAGGCCAATCTTCTCCAAAGTGTTTCTTTGTACTTCTGGAGTTAACAAGACCTGACCAAAGAGCTGAAAAAGCTTTCCTCGCCTTTCTACCCAGCTACATCTCTGACCTCTTGGTACTATATGACCAGACATGTACATTGAGATCCTCAGGCGGAGTACTCCTATGTGCTCTAAACACCAGACTGAAACTAAAGGGGAAGAAGTATTTTCTGTGAGGGCTCCTAAACTGTCCCGAGGAGACCAGGACAGCTGAGTCAGTCATCTCTTTTAAACCCCTTCATTAGGTATACTTTTACTTGAATTTTACTTTTTTAAATTCCTTTGAAAGTTTTTGATGTCTTAGGATGTTTGTGATTTCCTAATGTATGACTGATAACCTGCCTGTTTTATGTTTGTTTTATAATTGCTGTACTTGTAAAGCACTTTGTATCTTGACCTTAAACAGGTCTCTTTAAATAAAGGTTTTTATTATAATACCAGAACAAATGTATGAAGCATCACAACAGGAGATGCTGCTGCAGAGATTCTCTCAAGGATTTTATTCACATGTAAACATGCTGCTGTACTCTCACACATGGATGATGCACAGGGACCAACACAGTTACACACATATTTGAAAAAATCTACTTTTTGCTTTTTGCTAGTGTTCGAAATCAAACATTTAAAAGATAGCTCTTCATTTGATGTGAAAATAAATAAAGTTCATGAGGAAAAAAAAATGGTTTGAATTTGCGATGGGGAAATGTTGCATTGAATTTTCTGATAGTTTAAATAAAGTGGCATCTAGTTAAAGGACTGAGTGTTTGCATTAATCTTAAAATAAGCAACCTCTCTGATCTGCAACCTTTGTTGTATTGTGACTCCAGGGTTTGATCAAATGATGAATAAACAGCACCTTCAATCCTTCAGGAGGAACTGAGCAGAATAATATATTGACGTTAAGATACTGTAAGGGTGCCATCAAACCCCCTCCTGCAGTGTAAACTCTGAGCAGCCTTAATGTGGTTCAGGGTTTGAGGATGTTATTGCATTATTTGGTTGAAGCATTCATGTAACCATAAAATAACTTTAAATACCACAAACTTTATTTTCTCTGATATGAGGTACAGCTGATTATTCTGGTCCTGTTGACTGAGTTCATAGGAAGCTGGCTCTTAGGCGCTCAGGAGACAGACTTCTTTTGCTGTTAAATGCCTAAAAGGAGGAAATGATGTTCATTGTTTCACAGAAATAAAAATAAAAAACACACAAGTAAAGCTTGCATTTTTACGAGTACATACCCTCAGTGCCATGGATGTGCATGCAAGTGGACAGAGAGATACATCTGATTTGGAAATGACTATTCCTGGCTAAGTGATTTCAGGAAAAAATATTGTTTTGTGTTTTGTTTCTCTGTCAGATATTAAAGGGACTTACAAGACTGCGAGTTGGGCTGAGAGAGCGAGAGCGCACGGGGCTGACACTCCTGCTCCGACTACGGCTCCACTGCAACAAAAAAAAACATCACCAGTGAGCACATGAGCCGTTCATTTTTATTCACATTTACTTTCTTACACAGGCCCTTTCTGCATTCAAGGCTTTTCATTCTTTTATCTCTGTGGGTCGCTCTGTTAACTCAGTCCAGTCTTTCGCCTCAATCTGACACTCTTGCTCCTTTACTCTATTCCTGAAGAGCAGGGCAGCTGCCAGGATTTCTGGGACCCCTGAAAATCCCACATTGGGTCTTTACCCCCACAGTGTCAGTCAAACAGATAGCTAGATGTTCACTAAAATCTTTATTTTGTAATGACATTAGGAGTTAATAACGAGTTTGGAATCATGTTTGTTTAGTTGACCAATTTTACCTTTCTTAAAACAGTTATGACTGAGAGAGAAACAAATTTAGGAAATTAATTCCTGTGTATATCCAATAACAATAATCATGACTGTAATTATTTTAGGATGTTGGCTGTTGAGATTGTGTAATATTTCAGTATATTGCTACTGTCAGGAAAGTGTTTATATTTGCAAATCTTTTCATGGAAGTGTATTCTAAAATGTATTTTGTTTCTTGATCCCTGTGCCTTTGTCCTCATGCTTTCAAAGGGTTCACCTGGCTACCAATACGTCTTCACCTTGGGGAAAAATTCTGCTGATGTTGAAGTTAATTTGTGATTTTTTTTTTTTAAATGTAAAAGAGTCAGTACCGGAGCTCCTCTTCTGGTCACAGCCTCGCCCTTCACCAGCACAACGTCTCCTTCCATCAGAGCCGGCCACACGTGGTACATGACCAGAGGAGCCGTGAACTCAGAGTCATAACTGCGACGATACCTGACAGACACAGAGAGAGGAGGGGGGGGGGGGGGGGGGGGGGGGGTACAGTGAGAATTCATGTGCTGAGGTAGCCATCTACTGTTAGAGGCCGCAAATAACCTCAAATATTTTACAAAGTAGATGTAACATGGTCCATTTATTCAAAACATCTCCAAAAAAAAAAGATAAACGTTTGGAAGCCTGACCTGTTGTCATTATAAAGTTCTCCGTCACTTGCAAAAGCCAAGTCGAGGGGAGGGTCCAGCGTCTGCATGGCGAAGGCTACCCTGCACGTCTCTCTTATCAGAGCACTGATGAGGACAAAGTCCACATCAGGGGGGAAAGAGATCCGAGGGTTCACGTTCATGGCATTGATCACATCCTGAGGTGCAGAAAAAATATAAACAGTCAGAAAAAATATAAACAGTCAGACCAGATACATCATCTAAGTACATGATTTTTACATTGATGCTGGTCTGGACGTCGTACAGGTCCAGGTTTCTGACAATGTAGTCCACAGCTGCGTCCTCCAGACTCTCCACACCAAAGTGGGTTGATGACAACGTCTTCCTCACGCGCAGCTTGAACTGACGGTAAGCCAGTTTGGCTGTATTGAAGGATTCCTGAGACATGATTAGAAAGACTTTTAAATAATTTGCTCGATTATTCATTACTTTTATTTTATTTTTTGTCTTCATTCTGTTTTAAACGTCTGTTGCTTTCAATGCAAATAATGTTCCTCTGCATACAAATTCACAAGTGCAATTATTGTTATTATTATGCTTGCTGAAAATCTTAATAAACTTTTTTTAAATGAAATAAATAAATAAATCATTTGCTCGATATGCCAGCAAACATAAACAACCCTGAGTCCATGTATAAATTAAGCAACTAGAATATGATTGGTATGGGGGAGTATTCACTGATAGAACTTTTGAAAGGATATTCAATATCATTTGAAATGTTCAACCAAATTTCATTGCGGACCATCGTCTGCTCAGCTGTGATGCTCTTTGTGTGCTGCAGACAGTGCTAAGTGTATGCATTTGTGATTGGCCACTGTGGGTTGATTATATCAGAAAACCTGTAATTTGGCAGGCTCTAATCCATATTTATAGACAAAATATCTACCAGTTCATACATTTTTTGAAGCCACATTCAGCCGACAAATCCAGATAAACATCTCATTTCATTGGAGCGCTGGTAGTTTAATGGTTACATCCCTCCAGTGGGTGGACCGGGTTTGAATCCGACCAGTGGCTCCTTTCCTGCATGTCACCCTCCCCCTGATTTCTGAATCTATCCACTGTGCTGTCTCTTCAATAAGAGCATAAATAGCCCAAAAATAAATCTTACAGCTAATTTCATGTGATAGATGTACTTGAGTGTCTTTAAATGAGTTGTACCAACTAATTCGGACACGCAGGACTTATTTTTTGCTTTTTTAGATCTGGAAATAAGATTTTTATCCAGACTTGTAAGTTGACTGGCTTTCAGAAGTGTGTTTTGATATTTTTACTATAAATAGGACAAATACACTTGCTTAGATTTGAGATTTTGAAGTGTAAAAGAAGCTATGTAGTCGGAAGAGTAATTGAATGTATTTGTTCTGCATATATTGTAATGGATAAGGAGGGTTTTCTTTCAAAACATGGCGGTTTCTTTTGCCAGGACAACCATGAAAACTTCAGCTGTTCTTCAGTAGTTACATAATTTGTTTCATTTGCCAAATCTTTGTGAGAAGGAAGATGATTTTTTTGAAGATCAGTGGGGATTGGGCCTTTTTTTGTGCATTGCATTTAAATGAAAAGTATTATCAGGACATTTAATGTGATCCGTCTTCGCAGGTGGCTTTAAAGATAAATATATCATCATACCACGACAGCGATGAAGATGATTTTCTGGACCATCTCTAAATCAGCGATGTATCGTCTCAGCAGGTTCTGGGCTTCGAGTCGCTCCACAGAGTACAGGTCGCTGAGGCGAGACACGAGGCGAGCGTGTCGGGACGAGTTAGTCAGCTGAGCTCTGGTGGGCGACTCGCTCCTCACCGGGCTGGAAGAAAGGCTGAGCCGAGGCGGGGGGCTCGGAGAACGACTCCTCATCAACCTGAGGAAGAGACGGAGTGAAATCTCTAACCACACTAAAACACATTGTTCTGCAGAGGCCTGTCTAAATGTGTGTGTACCTCTTCTGCAGCATGGCCTTCTCTGTGTTCAGGTAAGACACTTCATCTCTCAGTAAGCGAATCTGTCGCTCGTAGTCATCGAGAGCATCCAGCTTCCTCCGATAAATCTCCTGCTGCTCGTGAGCTGATCGCAAACTGAAACACAGACACACCTCAGGTCAGAGAGGAGGAAACAAACCGTGCACTGCATTTTAAAAAATAGATATAAGAGCATGAATTCAATCACCCACTCCGCCTTCAGTTGTAATATTTCATCCTCAGTGGCCAGCAGAGTTGTTGCCGATTTGCTCTTCGTCTCATCCAGTTCATTCTGAGCCTCGACCAACCTGTTCAAACCAGACAACTCTACATTTCACCGTTCATTTCATGCAGTTAATCACATGTTGTTTAGGTTGCAATTGGACATAAAAGATGCACAAAGCCTTTTTTATATATTCTTTGTGCAAGGTTATTTATCTAAACTACATTTCAACATCAACATGAGCCATGCAGGTACAGGTCAAAGTCACCTAAAAACACAGGAAACAAAAAGCAATAAGAACGGGAAAAATTATTTAATAATAATTTAATGTTTCAATATGACAGATTTATCGAATGCTATTGCAATTGTCTTTCGTTGCTCTGCAGGAACACATGATTGTTTTTCTTTGCTGTCAGACTGAAAATGACACTGTGTGAATTCTATTTTGACCTTTTGTTTTTAATCTGTGTAGAGATAATAAAAAAATAAAAAAGGAGAACAACAGCTGGAAGATAATCTTTTGTTGAGAGATGGCCTGACACACTTACCTGTATAATGTCTTTATCATCATATATTTGTTATGCATCTGTGTGTGAAGTGATTTGTGCACATCTTTTGAATTCTGGACTATGTATGACCTCCCTGATAAAGTGCTTTAAATAACACATTCTGACACAGTTTTGTATTTGTCATTGTTGATCATTATTCTAGTTTTAAGCAATAAGCAGAAACATCTCCTAACAGCTGCAAATGCCTCCATTATTGATTATTTATCATATTTTTAACTGTGCTAAAAGTAAACCAGCAAACTATTTGTTCAAGAACACAAGTGTGCAATTCTGATACTCGACTGGATAAAGTTTCTATTGAGTCTGCTGTGCAATACTCTGCATGTTCAATGTCTCTACTGATCATTACTGCTCTTCTTTTCTACATTTCGCTTTATATCTTCATCTGTCTGGGCGTTTTTGTACCGAACTTATTTCTTAATACTCTGCGCCTTGCACATTGCTGATTTCGCCAATACTCTGCGCCTTTTATACTCATTGCTCATATTTGTTATCTATTTTTTTGTATTATAATTTTCTATTTATATTCCTATACTTTGTACCTCTATTTTGTGAATAAGAGCATGAATGTTAAAATATCTCAAAGAAGGTAGGATAAAAAAGAAAAACGCTTCAACATAATAACTGCCTGCTAAGAAGAAATCGATGGTCTGATTAAGAAGCATATGAAGCCACGATGTAAGATACAGTGAAACTCACTCTGATCTGACAGAGTCCAGCTGCAGGCGAGTGGAGCACAGCTGAGTGTCCAACTTCTGAACGTCATTGTCATGAGAGGCCGAGAGCTCCCTGATCCTCCGGTCCTTCTCCACCGACTCCTGATAACAACAAATAAAAAAACCACAAAGAGAGGTCGATTTTAGAGGAAAACCATTGTAGTAGGTGAAGTGTTTTGTCTTTCTGGTGTAGCAGAAATACATTTTAATGGCTTCATAATTGAGACATGCTGTTTCATGAGGCCTAATAGCACATATCATCACCTGGATGAGCTGTAAACTGGTGTCATCAGAGACTGAAGGCCTCGCCATCGAGAAACATGTGCCGAGCCATGGCAGCAGGCGTGTTTTAAGAGTGTCCACTCCAGCGTAGTGTCCACCTGAAAGTAACAGTGTTCCAGGATTGTCATGAGCCTCTACCTGACCTCCTGACCTTTAAATATTTAACATTTTCAGTATTATGTGTGTTAGTTTGGTCAATACGTTAAAATTAATCACATTATTCTGTCAATAGATAAAACTGAACCTCAGGCAGGAAAGTTTGCTTGACTTTCCCGTCTCACTTCTTATGAGTACAGTTTAATTGCAATTTTGTCCGTAACAATTTATTACAATTGTTTTTGCTTTACCTTCAGCAGCTGCGAGGTTGAGGATGGTGAACAGTTGGCCTTGAATCTTGGCAGTGAGTTCAATCAACTCACAACATCTGTTTAGATTCTGGTCACAGGATATCACCTAAACAAAACAATACCATGTTAAGACCAAACTGAACTGACAGTAACCTCTATAGTAGTCAGTTTTTGAGTGCTGAGATCTGCTTGAAATTGCAAACAGTTAATGGTTATACTGTAGGCCTGCTCGTTCCTGTTGTGCTCTCTATATTCAAGATTCAAGACTTTTGTTTGTCTCATGGACATGTAGGAATTTGCACTGCAATGACAAATGGCACATAACAAAAAAAACAGCAGCAATATGATATAGGCTAATGAATATGTTTCACTATTTACAGTTTACAATTTTATATTTTACATGCCTATATTTGTATAAAAAGGCTAGAATGTTGTGTACATTGTGTTCATGTCTATATGTAGGCCTATATGTCCTTGTGATGTTGACTAGGCCACGTGAATCTTAATGGTCTTGATTAAAAAAATTATATATTACTTATTCACAGACATGTGGAGTCATTTTTGGATTGGTAACTTCCACAGCGATCCCTTATTTTATTTATTTTTTTACATCTCATTTTATAATAAACTAAGAGAAAGATTAAGGCATGTCTTTCCATTCATAAGAAAAAAAATGGAGACATTCAGCCTACAGGTGTCAGATGGCTAGTCCTATAAATACTTTTATCAAACTGTTATGATCACCTTCAAAAAGGGGGTTACAACTTCTAATATGAAAGATAGTAGGCCTAAAAAAATAATAATAATAATAATAATTTTAAAAAAAAGATAGTAGCCCTATATGGCTCTCGGTTTTTAGGTTTTTATCATTTTTATGCCATTATAAAAAATAATCAAAAGCAAAGCGGTAGAAAATAACTACAGGCAGAGAAGCCTACTACAGCGAGAAAGAAAGCTAAATAGAGCAAATTGACCAAAATAAATAAATAAATAAAAAGCTTTCCAGATAAGAAAAAGGAACAGGCTATAAAGCCAGGGGATCCAGAAGTTTAGTTAACTTTAAATAACGTTCGGTCACTTCATCGCGATGTTTCCGGTGAGGACGTGAACCATCTCTTCAGCGATACAAAACATCTTTGGAAAAAGTCCAACCGTTGCCATGACGACTGGCGTCCATAGCAACCAAACTCTACAGGGGAAATCAATGTTTGCTAAATTGCAAAGTGCATTCCTTTGCTGCAATGTTTTAAATTATTACAAGCACCAACAAAGCCAACGCGATTCTATGTCTCATGTTTTATCAAAAGTGTTGAGGAAAAATATCAACATTTTACGGGAGAGTAAGCCTAGGCTACACAAAACTATTTATCATTTGTGTCCCTTTTAAAAAAAACAAACATGTGCAACACTTCAATTTAGCATGCATTTTTGCTATCGGCTACAGAACTTATTAACAAGATCACCTACTTGGGACACTGTGCCTGAGATGAAGTGCTCTGGTCAGATTTAGGTCGCATTACTTATTAATGAACTTACATGATAGTCTCTGTGCCAGCTCTCCAGCTTGTCCTGTAAGACGCTGAATGAAGACGTGTTGGTCAACCTCCTTAATGTTTCCGCCATGACCTAACACTATGATAAAACGGAGGGTTTAAAATACCACCAGTGAGGAGGGAGAGGAGCCTGCAGCCAGCCAGCCGCGGGTTTGTTCCTGTGAGGAGACTGTAGTAAAAATTCCTCTCCTCTCCACGACGCAGATTCAAAGCAGTAGTTGAAGTTGTGGCAACCAAGTGAGGAGACGAGCACGACAACCAGACCTGACGACGAGCTGCATCAGTCAGACCTCTGCAGGTTCGGCTCCCCGGTCATTTAAACACGATAGTAATGTAATGTCATACTGTCAAACGACACCAAAGGCCTGCAGAGTAAAACCTGAGGCTCAGTAACACATGTTCATTTCCGCTCAACTGCCTGTGTTGGACCTAATGCGATTATAGGCTAATACAACAAATATATTGATTGCATCTCCATAAAGTGTTCAATCATAATTAATTCATACAATTACTTTTACATAAAACAGCTAGATAAAGAAGCTAGCCTACTAAAGCAAGTTTAATAACTAAATAAATAAATAAATAAAGCTTTATTTTTTATAGGCCTAGCACATTTCAAACAGATCAAATGCAATTCAAAGTGCTTATAGATTGAAACAATAATGGCAAAACATGACTCAAACAAAAATGGATAGCACCAATAGCAATAAAATATGTAGGCTAATTAAAACAATAAAAATTAAGGAGTAAAAAAAGGGTTAAAGCATTAAAAAAAATAAATCGTTAAAATGATTTTTAAAAGGTAAAGAAAAAAACTATAAATTGGCCTATTGAAAACATCACAATAAGGAAATTGTAAAGATATTAAATTATAAAAGGTAGACGCAAACAACAGGTAAAGGGGAGTGATTACATGTAGCCATAGCCTACTAATTATTAAGTTTAAATATTTAAATAGTTATTATTATTATTATTATTGCCTAATTATTATTATTAGTAGGTCTAGTAGAAGCAGTAGTAGGCGAGTAGGCCTAGTAGAAAATATAGGCTAATTTGGAATACAAACATAGTTATCATTGTATTATTTATATTTTCACTTAATCCCTTAGTTTGTTGCTCTTTAAATAATAGGTCTAGTTTGTTCAATCAGTTGTTAATCAATGAATAGAGCCGAGGGAGATGTTGACTTCTGTAGGCATGAATATTTTATAATGATTTTTTTAAAGACATAAAGCTCTATAGGCTATATAAAGTATTTGGTTGTGGCCAGCTTGGCAGTTTCCCCTCTGGAAAATATGAATGGACATGTTTTTCTATTTTGGGGTTCTTCTGTCATTGGCTGGTTGAACTTGGAATATACCATACACTGTTATCATAAAAACGTCTTCACTTTGAGGAAGCTTCATAAAAATATACAATATACCTATTGTGTTAACTGTTGTCACTTTAATATTTTCAATGTGCCTGCTCTTTATGAATGAGTATCGTAGTAGGCTATAGTAATCATATCTAACATACACAGTGGACACCCCTCCCATGAAGTGGTACGGTCCTGTCGCTCTGCTGGCAGGAGAGGGAGGGTCAACATGGCGTCTGAACAGGTCCGTTATCTCCAATATTCGTCGTTTTTCTTGTGTTTGACTCCGTTTTTCACTCAGATGTTTGTTAAGAGAGCATTTAAATGTGTTGCGAATAATCTGGTGTTATTCATATTGTTGTTAAGGGCTCTGTTTTCGTCTCTACGACTTGTTCAGTGTAATAAATACTGGCCTCGTCTGCGTTATTCTAGTATCGTTATGTGGAGGTTAAAAATGCATCAATGTAGCAAAACTGATGTTTGACAGCAACATTATTTTGCTCAAATGAGAGCAAATGAGTTTTCAGACAACAAGAGAAACGAGTTTCATGCTTTTTTTCTGCTAAAATGTATGCAGTTTATTTTTAGTTGTGTCCACAGACAGACAGTCGCAGGGTATTTAACTGAGATGCATACCAACCAACGCAGAGCAGCAGAGAGCCTGAAAATAACACTGAATGATCATCAGTGGAGAATCTCTTTATATTTGTATTTAACATATGTCAGATTTAATAGAACACAGTTTTAGAGCGATAGGACTATTATATCCTATTCTATATCCTAGGTGCAAAACATATGGGTTAGGTCAACACTTTTTTTTTTTTTTTTTTATATTCAGGTCTAATTACAGATTTCTGTCCTCAACTGTTTTTAGGTTCTTGTTTAATTTCACATATATTTTTATCCCTGCACGGGTTATGTACATTTCTTGTATAAGTCTATTTTTAATTGCACAGTTTAATTTTGATTTATCTAGGGGTATTCTTTAAATCTTAATTTCAGGTTAATATTTATGTATCAGAGGGGGGCGTCGGTTTTGTGGTTTAATAAAAAAAAAAAAAAAATGTTTCATGTCATGTACGTCTTTGTAACCTGCTACTGGATGCTTTGAATTTCCCTCGGGATCAATAAAGTATCTATCTATCTATCTATCTATCCATCTATCTATCCATCTATCTATCTATCTATCTATCTATCTATCTATCTATCTATCTATCTATCTATCTATCTATATTTTCTTATATAAATAGAATGTTGTCAGGGTTTTTAGAAATATAAAGACTACTTAAGGAAGTTAAATGGAGCCAGATGAGTTAAAATGACCCAGAAAGATCCTCAAAGAACTAGAAATCAGAAGGAACCCTGTCCTAATAAATCATTTACATTTTTAGAAATCCTAAAGTAGGGTTACACAATAAATAGCAATTTCACTGTTATCGCAGTATGAGCTTTCATAATATTTTCTGCGAATTAGACAGTATGAAGGAGTTTGATTCTATTTATTGATAATTGAAAACCAGAAAAGACCAAATATTGTGGGCCTAGGACTTCTTTTTTTGTTGCTACTGTATTGAAACAGGTATCAATAGTATTTGATTTAAAATTCAGGTATCATGACAACCCTACTCATTACTTACAAAAGGAGATTTAGTGTAGATTTGAATGTTTGTGTGATTGCAAAGTCTTTGTTTTGCCTTCCAGGAGAGCTCCAATGGGCCGGTGAAGAAGTCCATGCGAGAGAAGGCGATAGAAAGACGTAATATCAACAAGGAACATAACAGTAACTTCAGAGCAGGTTATATACCCATAGAAGAAGAACGTCTCCATAAGACAGGGCTCAGAGGACGCAAGGGGAACATGGCCGTCTTCATCGTCGTCCTCCTCTTCCTCCTGGCCTTAATTAATCTAATTGTGAGTTAAGACCTAAATGGATCCTCTTAATGAGTTTAAATTACTGTTAAGCACTCACACATGTTGATCCTTGTGTTGCCGTCACTCAGATAACGTTGGTGATATGGACAGTGATACGGATCGGTCCAAATGGCTGTGACAGTATGGAGTTCTTTGACAACGGCCTGCTGCGATTCAAACAGAAAGCAGACATGGGCATCGTTCACCCGCTGCACAAGAGCACAGTGGGAGGCCGTAAGGACCAGGACCTGGTCATTGTGGGCAACAACAATCCAGTGAGAAACATTTACAGTGAAATAAAAACTTAGAAAATGATCAAATGTTTGCAGACTTTAAAAACGCCTCTCGTCTTTTATCTGACATTTGTCCCTCCAGGTCGTGTTCCAACAGGGAACCACTAAGCTGAGTGTAGAGAAGGACAAGACCTCTGTGGTCAGCGATGTGGGCATTTCCTTCACAGACCCCCCGCTCACAGACCACCTTCTTCAGCACAGACTTTGAAAACCACGAGTTCAACCTGCCCAAAGGAGTCAAAGTTCTCAGCGTAAAGAAGGCGTCCACAGAGAGGGTGTGTATGATAATGCTTACAGCGACTTGATAGCTGTGATGAAAGAGTGATTCATTTATCATTTAAGGGTTTCACAATCTGTGCACAAAGTTCTGTCTGTGCAACACTTTAAAGTATTGCAATTCCAGAGCTAATTGAAGGAAGCTTACAGTACATTTTTTTTGAGCATTTTTGCTTTTGTTGAATAGTAACAACCAAAGCCTTGTTCACACTTGCACAAAACTCCTGAAAAACTCCAGAAGTTTTCTGTGTGAGCTGCAGGTGTGTACGCAAACAGACTCATTCTTCCCTCTGACATTAGTGTCAGTTTTTTTTTTTTTTTTTTTCAAAGGAAGTTGGAGGGAGCTGATGTGAGAATGCAGCGGGATATAATCAGGAGAATTCACCACAGTCAGCGGGAGGGGGGTAGACTATAGACTGTCTGAACGCGACTGTGAGATCTCGGTGAACCTAATAAATCTGCTGCTTTATGATTTCCATTTGCCAGTTTGTTCTTCTCCACTCTTTTGTTGATTTGGGACTCTGTCAAACACATAGCATTGATACTGTATAAAGGCAAATAATCTAATTATAGCGTCATGTCTTGCCTCATATATCCTTTGGAATATTTAAAATTCTATCTTATCACATTATTTAGCAAACATCCTATTTTTATTCAGGCTTATCTGGATACTCCTTCAACTTGCACACGTATCCAAGTGTAGTCATATTTCAGTTTTGATCATTAAGACTATAGGAACCATATCATCCAGTTCAACTTCATAAAAAGGGTTTATTTACCCATGATTGGCCCGACCACAGTCCAGGTTGAAAGTATGAATGATCAGAGAGGATTGAGAGAAACTAGAGTAGTAAATATGCCTTCAACTCATTAACACTAAAGGACTAAACGTTGTATTAACCTAAGTTGTTTTTATAGTTGTAAAAAATATGGACAAATATTTTCAAAACTTGATTGAACACAAGTTACAGGATAGTCTCTGTGACAAGTGTTAAGTTTGTAACACACAGTAAATTATATTTTTTTCTGAATTCTCTGCATATGCTCTGAATGTTAATAACAATTGTCATTCTGTTTCTGATGTTAGATCACGAGCAGTGCAGCGTCTGACCTGAACATTAAAGGAGACGGGAAGGCCATCATTCGTGGAAATGAGGGCGTCAACATCATGGGCCGGACTGTGGAGTTCAAAATGGGAGGAGGCATCGAGCTCAGGGCTGTAAGTATGAATAAAAAACAGAATCTGTGACGATGACATTTAGAATACAGAAGCCAAAAGAGCAGGCTTTGCTGAAAGGTCGAGTTTAATACACAGTGTGTTTTACACAGTGTTTCTCATAAACTGTTTATCATTGTACTGACTAATCCATGATTAGTTTGATCCAAAACTGATCTGAAAATAATGAAAACTTTTATCCTCAAACGTCTTTCTTTAGAGCCCAAAGATATTTAGTTTACAGGCAGAGGAGGGAAAAAAGGAAGAAAACTTATATTTCAAACCTGAAATCAGCATCAGAATAGAATAGAATAGAATAACTTTATTGATCCCAAACTGGGAAATTGTGGCGTTACAGCAGCAGGTTATCCAAACAAACAATATTAGCAAACAAACACAATATAATATTAAATACAAGTAAATAAGCAGTAAAAATATCAAAACTAAGAATGAGAATATATACAACCAGGATTTAAGTAAGCATTACTTCTAGTCTTAAATATGAAAGATTAAATGTAAATGTGCTAAAACAGAGTTGTAATTGAACAGTATCGATATGGGGAGCTGTCCAGAGCTGTGCAATCAGTGATACATATGTTAAAGTGCAGGAGTGTAGACATGTTGTCAGCAGAAACTATTCAATATAATGGCGGGAAAGTCAGCAAACACCAACACTGATTCATCTATTGTCACAATGGTTGGTGATTCATTTAATGGTCTTAGATGGATGAATTTTGGATTTTCTCTTTGCAGGAAAACAGCATCGTCCTTAACGGATCTGTCATGTTCAATGCCACTCGTATCCCTAACTCTGCAGGAGATGTGTATTTCGATGAAGGTATGGAGAGGTACAAACTCTGCATGTGTGCAGATGGGACTCTGTTCCGTGTGCAGGTGAAATATCCCAACATGGGCTGCCAGACTTCAGATAACCCGTGTAGAAAAACTGGCTAGGAGAATTCTGCTGTTACACGTCTTCACCGTCCGTCACCACTGAGGTTAGATTAAACATTTGCTCATATAGAATATTCATCATGACTTGCACATGATAATAATATTAATACCTCTGTAGCTCACCTGATTTTTTTTCTCTATTTACTGTTTGAAAAACTGGATTTTTGTTACAGCTTATCATCACTTGGCCAAAGACATTAGATAGTTGTAAGTGCTGAAATATTTGTGTTTTATTGTTGGCATCTTTATCCAAAATGCCATATCACTGTAAAACACTCCTTTATTTAAGATGATACTGTGGGTCAGACCAGAGACAGGATTTTATTTCTCTCACTCCTCCTGATTACCCATGCACAGGTGCAGACTTCAGTCTAAACATGTACATATTCACTAGAGAAATATTAAAACCTGTCTTTTAAAAGATTAATTACTAATTTAAAGGGGACATTTTTAAACACCTAAAGCAGTGGTTCTCAACTGGTGGGTCGGGACCCAATAGTGGGCCCAGGAGTTGTTTTCAGTTGGTCTCGAAATTGTTGTTTGGAAAAAAAAGTGTCACAAAGTCTCAAAATCACCTTTAAAACATGTTTGTTCTGTTTCATCTCTTTGTTCTGTTACATGTTTTTATACCGTCTGAGGTCCAAACTGTTCAATTTTTTCATAAAACAAATCTCATTGGTTAAAGAAAATCAGAAATTTGGGTCACAATTTCTTATTAAAGGCTTTATATGTGATTTTTCACAAATCAAGTATATCCTCTGAAAATAACTCTGTGAGTCATGACTGTCTACAATGGGTGTAACACCCGAGTCCCACTGTCTGTGATGTTTTCAGAGTTTTCAGAGTCATATCTTCAGTTTGTTTACATCGCCCGGACGGCCGGCTGACTCCTCCCCTCATGTATAAAAGTTGTTTAATTGAGGGACTAGAGAAAAGAAGAATAACATACTGTACTCACTGCTTAACTGTGTTTCTAGATCACGCTCATTTCAGGTAAATTTACATGCAGTGTGAAGATACGAGCATAATAAAGATCGCTAGCATTAGCATGCTAACACAACAATGCAGTGCAAGTTGTTTTGGTTTCATACTGGTGCTCAAGGGCGACGTCTGCTGGATGAAAATTCACATATAAAGCCTTTGAGGAGTTGGTGGTAGGTCCTGAGACTGGACCAGTTTAGAACCACTGCCCTAAAGTATCTGAGATCAAATGGCATTTCCAGTCTGAATATTCAATGGCATGTACACATGAGAATATTTTAGTCATTCACCATCACAGATATGTTTATTTGCAGCTAAAAGTGGCTACACACCAGACTATTTTAGATCTGATTCTGACCCAATGACCTCTTGGGAAATTCATCTAGTGTGTAGCTGGCCTAATGCAGGTATTTCATTTTGAATTATTTATCAACAGATAAAAATGATGAGTCCATAATATGGTGCATCCCTAGTACAAGATGTTTAATGAAAGGGATTGACTGTTTGCCTTACCGTCCAGTATTATGAACATGCACACATCTTGCAGCAGGTTGTATGAGATTTGATTTCCTGTACATTGATCAGGCAGCTGTTTGATATTTTCTTTATTACAATCACTGAGGTACATTTGAAGCTAACATAAAAGTAAAGACGGTCTGGTTCTGCACATTTTGGATTGTCTATCATGCACGTGCCGATGGATTTAAAGGGATGATGAAGAATATAATATAATATAATATTCTAATTTTGTTGCCAAACCTTTTTTTTTTTTTTTTTTTAAGCAAATATTGTAAAACGAGTGTGTGCACTACAGATGAATGCAAATCTCTGTCAACGTTTGTTTATGGATGTCAGGAATGTTTTCAAAGTAGCTAAGTTTGAAATGTTTTTGAGTGGTTTGAATTTTGTGCAATATATTATAAAAAGATTTGACTTTGATTCTGCTCTCGGTTGTCATGTGTGTTTATAAAAGTGATGTTGAGAAATGTCATGCAGCATGTGTTCTCTTTATTACAGAGGAGTATCAGGGACAGGCTTCAGAAAAAAAAGATCAAAGGTTTAGATTTCTTAATTTTTTAGATGTTGAAATGTTGAGGTCAAAGTTCAAAGCTGAAGTATAATTTAATAAGTGCCAATTAAAGGAACAATCAATCTGATTTGTTTAAATCACAGAGGGATTTCTTTTTCATTTCAGCCTTTTTCCAATAATGCAAATACATGCAACATGTACTTTTCTGATGTATTCTTTACTTTTTGTCTTTAAATCCATCATAATAATCTCCTTCTCTTCCCTACTCTGAACACCTGTGTAGAGATTAAATCATGTTTATGATTAACTCAATGAAACAATTTTGCCAACCTGTCATTGCTGTGTTTGTTTTAATAAAGAAACATGTTGCTATGTGAAACTTCTTATCATTGGTTTCAGAGTCTGACTGAGTACAGTTCCTCATCATGCAGCTTTATGATCTCAGAGAATGTGCAGGCGGGGGGCATGGTCCTCCTCGCCCATAAACTGACAGGATGGTAGTAAATCTATCATACATTATGAGGACAACAATGACTGTAAGACATTAACCAGACACGTAAATGATTGAATGTGTCGCAGTATGGCATCTTTGTGAAATGTGCATGTAAAGCTGAACGCAGCAGAATAGTCCTCAGACTTTGATCAGAAGAAACAGAGACAGTCGGAGTTACAGCACTGAGCACTCGCTGGCTGTGAGAAAATATTCACAAGTCACAAGATAAACAGGTGAGCTCAATCCTTTTACTCTGCATTCTGTTCATAATGGATTTATTTTCTGTCATTAATAGGGAAAATGTTTGATTTTTGTGTACAGGTATTTTTAAATAGTTGCCAAGAGGTACAAACTTTTTACCCAGTACTGTAGGATAGGATTGGATAATACTTTATTGATCCCCAGAGGGGAAATTCGGGCATTGCAGCAGCACAGACAGAGAAAGAAGTAATACAAAATACACAGGATAGATAGGATAAATACAGATAGAAACAACAATAGGATGTATATACAAAAGAATATCAATAGTTAAACAATACAGGACAATTACGAATTATGTGTAGTGGATGTCAAGTTAAAGTGACCAGTGATGATATAAAGTGACTTGTGTGAGCAAAAAATGTAGGGTTATGTAAACAGCAGTAAAAGAGTAGTATGATATGAAGTGTGTTCTCCAGTACTGAACCTAAAAACTAGTATGAGTCAAATGTATCTTATCTAAAGGTAAATACTGGACGTTTACTCCACTAAATGAATTTACCAGCTTTAGTTATTAGTAACTTTGCACTTTCGGGTAATTAATACTGAATATAAATCAACATAGAATAGTAAAAAGGCTTTTAAAGATGAAGCTGCTCAGCAGTAAAATATGCCAATACTCAAGTCTTGAGATTGTCTGGGTAGGAAATGTTGTGTTGGAACATCTCTTTCATTAAGATCTTTATTTTTGTTATTAAGAGCAAGTGTTTTAAATCCAAATGCAAGGATTCTGGAAACACATTGGCTAAATTGACTGTGTATTCTGTGAAACCACAAACACTGTGGTAATGTTATGGTCCAAACAAAAAAAAGAGTTTTAAGGATATCAGAATCAGATTTATTGACCAGGTATGTTTACACACACAAGGAATTTAACTTTGGTGAACTGTGCTCGCTTATGTACAGGTATAACATTAAATATCAACAATAAACATCATAAGAAAAGACTAATATTTACATGACTAAATATGAAACAGTGCAGTTTATCATATTAGAGTTGTGGAAACCAGAATTTGGGTTCATAACCTCCATATCATACTGGTCTAAATTAAACAGTATCTTTACCTGTTTCGTTACCAGGGCAGTTGTTGAGTTCAGGTGTTTCCTTCGATTTATTGAGGGATACTTTCCTCTCCTTTGCACCTGTCTTGTGAAACTGAAGCTTTGGTACTTTTAGATACTGTCGTTATTAGAATAATGGAAATTTAAACAAGTGGTGTAAAAAAAAAAATCTCAAAAGAATGAATAACCTTATTTTGTACATTTGTAAAACTTTCATGAATCATGTCTTAAAAACAAAGATGGACCTTGTTTTATCTCCTGAATGAATAACTCCTGCTGTGTGTACCCTCAGGTGAGCTTGGAATGGCTGTGGCACAGGTGTTGCTTCTGGCTTCTGTGCTGCTCCGTTGCTCCTCAGCCGTACCTGCATGTCCACAGTCCTGCACCTGTCAGAGTCCTGATCTGCTGAACTGCTCCTCCTCGGGCCTCACTTTCATGCCACAACACATCCCAGACTCTGTCACTGAGCTCGACCTGTCTGATAACCTCCTCGACTCTGTAACAATTGGCCGACGACAGGATCAGCTGAGGAATGTTTGGCTGGGGAACAATAGGATCACAGGCCTGTCGCTCTGTCTCGAGAGGAGCCTGGGAGGCCGTTATGTCACAGGTAGACGTCTTCACCACTCATCAGGACCTTGGCAGAAGCGGAGGTGTGTGCCCTGGGCCCGAACCCTGCAGCTGTTATCTGTCGAGAGGAATCAGCTAGAGCAACTCCCAGAGGGTGAGTCAGTGTGATATGGTCGAACACTCATATAAAACTCATCAACAGAGCAATAAACATTCCTGACGATCGCAATCCTTGTAATGAAACATACCAGACATACAGGCTCTAACATTAAATATCTTATCTAAATATATTGATCTATATATTCATTACATGAAATTAGACTTCCTGTCTGTGCCTCATAATCATCATTCATAGTTAATAAATCGAACGTGGACTTCAGATTTTTTAAACATTCAGATCATTTATTTCTGTGAAAGTAGCCAGAACAAACAATGAAGCATAACTTCATACAAACTCTCCCCTTACCATCAAGTAAATACAAATATGTACATGTCACATAGATATAAATACACACTCTTAACTGTGCTGCTGCCTGTCCTGATCAGGACTCAAAAGTCTCTTTTTATTTGGTTTGTTGACTGTAATTCATAAGTACATGTTGAACTTTTCACATTTCTGGTGATTTTTAAAGCTCTACATGCAGACTTACACACTTATTAATCATTGATTAAAGTCCTCTATTCTCAGGTGTTTTCATGTTTTGATGATAAGACCTGCTCAGTTAGAAGTTGTGCAAAGTTCCCCTCACATTAACTTGACGTCATCATGTGCTCAATGGATGATTAAGTAGTAGGTACACCAAGTTCTGTCCACATCTTTGTGCTTGAATACAAATATTTATATCATGTTTGAAGACCTTGAAGGCTCCATCATTTAGGACTCTACTTTAGTGATTTGACTTTGGACTCTTTCGATATTTAGATGGTAATTACATCTTCAGCTTTACTCGAGCATCATTTTGAATTCAGGAAGGATTTTAACACTCTGTTACTTCTTCCACTGCTGTAGGTTCATTATTATATTATTGGATGGTTTTTGTTCATGCATGCAGTTCTTAAATGATGCAGGTAGTCAGGGAGGGAAGGCGGGTTTGATACATACAAATATGTTACTTTGCTTTGCAGGGCAGAGTTTTTAGGATATATCAATATAGTTTCAGACCAGACGATGTCATTTATATCGATATCAGCCGCACCTGCATGTCACCAGTTCGCCTATTTCTCCTCTCACTGTCCGTCGCTCTTCACCCTGCTTCACCTCTCTCCTTTTCTCAGAAAAAAAACTTCTGTGTAACAAAAAATACAACTGAGTGTATTTTGTTGCGCAGGAAAGAAATATTTATTATTTATTTCATTTAATAAGCATTTTCATTTAATATTATACATTTTAATTTCACAAAGGAGTAGTTTATTTTTCTCATTTTGATGTAATTATTGACATTATTTGTTAATTAAAGGACCTGTTTGATATTTGGCCCATGTGGATTTAACTTAACACTGACTTTATTTTTGTTATTGCTAAACAGAAAAAAAAAAGTGTCTAAATATATATCATGTATCACCATCTAGCTTAAAATGTTGAGTTATGACATTTGGTCCTTGTCGCGCAGCTCTAGTTGGAATATGTCTCTGATTTTCTACTTCTGTTTTGGGACATTTTCATGCATGTTTGTGAAGTCTTAATCCAAAGAGTAAGCAGTAACTATAGCTGCCTAAAAGATTAGCTTGAATTAGAAAACAATATTGTCTTGAAGAGCCCATATTCTGCCCTTTTTGGGGTTCTTATATTTAATCTATGTTCCTACTTTTGTACGTTCACAATAGCTAAAGTCTGAAAAAAGTGTCTGTTTTCATGTACTGCTCCTCCTTGCTCCCTCTACGCTCTGAGTCCGTCAGCTACACTCTGCTGAGCCCACACTGTTAGACCCCACGTGGGCCAAGTCTGCTCTGATTGGTCTGCCGATCCGCTCTGTTGTTATTGGTCAGTTGCTCAGCACGCTTCTCGGAAATTTCAACATGAGCTGCAGGGCTTGCCACAATGAGCCAATGGGCTTAGATCAGTGATCTCACACTGACAAGACGTCACACTGACACATTTTTATCGAGGGGGGCTAGAACCGAGCGTTACATGCAGCTAATGCTACAGCTAACAGGAGGAGGTAGGAGAAGCCACATCTAAACATGCACAGGACACTTGGAAAACACACTAAAGGGCATTTACAGTTGCAAGAAAAAGTATGTGAACCCTTTGGAATTTCCTAGTTTTCTGCATAAATTGTCTCAAAGTCTCAACAATAGACAAACACAGTCTGCTTAAACTAATACCACACAAACAATCATATGTTTTCATGTTTTTGTTGAACACAACATGTAAACATTTACAGTGCAGGGTGGAAAAAGTATGTGAACGCTTGGATTTAATAACTGATTGACCCTCCTTTGGCAGCAATAACCTCAACCAAACATTTCCTGTAGTTGCAGATCAGACCTGCACAACAGTCAGGAGGAATTTTGGATCATTCCTCTTCACAAAACTTTTTCAGTTCAGCAATATTCTTGGGATGTGTGGTGTAAATCGCTCTCTTGAGGTCATGCCACAGCATCTCTATCGGGTTGAGGTCAGGACTCTGACTGGGCCACTCCAGAAGGCGTATTTTCTTCTGTTGAAGCCATTCTGTTGTTGATTTACTTCTGTGCTTTGGGTTGTTGTCCTTCTGCATCACCCATCTTCTGTTGAGCGTCAGTTGGTGGACAGATGGCCTTAAGTTTTCCTGCAAAATGTCTTGATAAACTTGGGAATTCATTTTTCCGTTGATGATAGCAATCTTTCCAGGCCCTGATGCAGCAAAGCAGCCCCAAACCATGATGCCCCCTCCACCATACAACCCAGTTGGGATGAGGTTTTGATGTTGGTGTGCTGTGCCTTTCTTTCTCCACACATAGTGTTGTGTGTTCCTTCCAAACAACTCAACTTTGGTTTCATCTGTCCACAGGATGTTTTGCCAGTAGTGCTGTGGAACATCCAGGTCCTCTTTTGCAAACTTCAAACGTGCAGTGGCTTTCTCCGTGGTGTCCTCCCGTGATCTCCATTCTTGTTTAGTGTTTTACGTATCATAGATTCGTCAACAGAGATGTTAGCATGTACCAGAGATTTGTGTAAGTCTTAAGCTGACACTCTAGGATTCTTCTTCACCTCATTGAGCATTCTGCGCTGTGCTCTTGCAGTCATCTTTACAGGACGGCCACTTATAGGGAGAGTAGCAACAGTGCTGAACTTTCTCCATTTATAGACAATTTGTCTTACCGTGGACTGATGAACATCGAGGCTTTTAGAGATTCTTTTGTAACCATTTCCAGCTTTATGCAAGTCAACAATTATTAATCGTAGGTCTTCTGAGAGCTCTTCTGTGCGAGGCATGGTTCACATCAGGCAATGCTTCTTGAGAGTAGCAAACTCAAAACTGAAGTGTGTTTTTTATAGGGCAGGGCTTCAACCAACACCTCCAATCTGGTCTCATTGATTGGACTCCAGGTTGGCTGACTCCTGACTCCAATTAGCTCTGTGAGAAGTCATTAGCCTAGGGGTTCACATACTTTTTCCACCCTGCACTGTGAATGTTTACATGTTGTGTTCAACAAAAACATGAAAACATATAATTGTTTGTGTGGTATTAGTTTAAGCAGACTGTGTTTGTCTATTGTTGTGACTTAGATGAAGATCAGAACACATTTTATGACCAATTTATGCAGAAAACTAAGAAATTCCAAAGGGTTCACATACTTTTTCTTGCAACTGTAAAACCAGAAAAGGCATAAGATGGGACCTTTAAGAAATGTTGCAGAATTCAATCTCCTAAAAAATGTAATCACTCTAAAATATGAGTATTGACTACAGAGCATAATAATGTCAAAAAAAATACAGTGTGTATATTATTGAGTGGTATCTTAGAATGAGTGACAGAGCACACCCAGTAAGTTCTAAGGCCACACAGTTATATAAATGTGTAACATCTGGGTGTGGACATGTGATATGTGAGGTATGTGGAAGCAGACAGCGCCCATAGTTGCAATTTTTTGCAATGATATCTTAAGATCACAACTTTATCATCATGTTATCTCGACATAAAACTGCACATGTTCCCTGCTTTTTCATCTTCTAATGCTCTTCTTGCTCTTTAATACTTCCCACCTGTTTAGCTTTTTTTAATCGTCCTCGTTGTTGTTTTCTTCTTTTCTCCTGATTGTAAATTAAGTTCAGTACAAAGTCACTTAGCTGAATTTGAATGAGTCGTTGCATCATTTCCACTTTTGCTGCTTTACAACTTTCCTTCTTGTTAAAAAAAAAAAAGAGGAAAGAAAGATAACAGATTTACTCTGTCTTGGTAATGTGCTTTTTCTCAAATTACCTCGAGGAAACTGATAACTCTAGATAAGGGAAGATAATCACAAGAAAATTACTTTTCTTCTCTCCAGACCTCTGTAAATAACATATGAGAGCTTGACAGTGAGTATCTTGTCATCAGATTTCAGTTTCAGGATCACTGTCATGACTGTGTGTGAGGATGAACAAATGAACAGCCTGTAGTAGATCTTAATTAAAGCACAGTCTGGTATGTAGATCTATAAAAGGTATTCTTTGAAAATAAACTTTCAGGTTGATTTGTGTGATTCTTTAACAAAAATGTAAAATTGATCTTATAACTCATGGCGGTGTGCTAGCTGTTTGTTCTGTGTGAGTGCTGAAAAAATCAGCAACATGCGTTTACATTGTTCAATGTTTGAACAATGAACAATGTTCATATCATGTGAAATAAATAATTTGTGAAGTGGGAATTATCTTACATTCCTGGTGTTTTTTCTGTTCACACTAACCTGAAAGTTTAAAAGCTATCTGTCTTTTATAAAAAATAATTTCTACTCGCAGATGTGCTAATATTTTTCATGTGAAGGTTAGCCATCTAGCTAGCTCTCAACATAGTTGCCCACTTACCCCACCTTTAAATCAGCAGCTGAATTTGCCAAGACACTATCCGGCCAGGAAACAACCTTTTGTGTGAATGTGATAAAAGGTGGATTTGATCTCATCTCAAGATTACAAAATAATTGCCTTGTGATCCTGACTGAACAGCACTAAAACTGTAAAAAAAAAGGTCTCTGCTCATGTATAAACGTTCAAACATGGGAAGTTTACGAAGTAAGTACCCTGTATGAAATTAAGTTTAATTTTTGAATAATTACAAAAGAGTTTGAAACTTGCTCTGTGTGTAAGTTAAGTTACATTATGTTGCATGCATTGTCACTGGTTTAAGTTTTCTATGTATAAAAGGCAGAGGCACTGCTTGTCAACAAGGAAGGAAGGCAACTGCTTTGAACCCCAGGCCAGCAGGGGGCCCCCAAACAGACCCTTTAAACTTTAAACCACAGCAGTGACTCAAAATATGAAAAGTTTGCAATGTCAGTAAGAAACTTCCCTAAGGGGGCCCCATGTCACAGCACTCACTCTTGTTGCGCTGCTAAGCATTGCATGCATTATTCCTGTGAAAAACCAAAGGAAAACAAAGAGGAATTCTCCATCTGGGAGTGAAAACAGATAGTAAATATAATAGTTAATGACTAAATGTAGCCTTAGCTAAGGGTTAGAGACAACTGAATAACATAACTTCAGCTCGCTTTACATTATAGTGTTGGTTCTTTGATGTTTAACTTTGGTTGATTTTGCTTGAAGAGCAGTCTAGTGTGTCTAGCTCAGCTGGACCAGTAGAGTGTGCACGACTGGGTCAGATTTAAAACACGTGCAGTGGCTAGCAGGCTGAAAGAACATGAATATGCTTTTAGTTACAATATTAACACTTCATAACCAGTCAACTTGGTCTTGGGCAATGTTACCTAATTCTTGCAATTTATTTGTTGGTGTGAGATTATTTAAAACATAATTGTGATGAATGGTGGTTCAAGGGGCCCCCCTGTGAGTTTTTGTCTAGGGCTCCAACATACTCTAGAAAGGCCACATGTGTCTCTACCACTGTTTTATTTTATTTATCTCTACAAACACTTACATTTATGGCTTTTGAACCCTTAAAATGGATCTTTGTCTACCTGCCTCAGGCGTCTCTGAGTTAAGAGTTTTTGCCTCTTAGCAAAAGAAAAAGTATAGCTGTCCAATATTTTACAAACAAAACAAAGATAAGTCATGTGAAGATGACTGACTATCTTTCAGTGATGCCCTTATGGCCTTGTTTTTATGAGTTAGTGATAAATGTATCTGAGGTCTTAAGACTGCACACCTTTAATTACCTTATTAAGAAATATTCATGAGTGAGCCATGAAAACCCTTCTACCTTGAAGAAATATTTTTTACCAAATCCTTCAATGCATTTTAAAGAATAAATCTTTGTACACCACTGTTACAGTCCTTTTTTCATTCTCATAGAAACAAAACCATCTTATTGATATCCTTTATCTCTAGTACTTTGCTCCACTCAGAAATGATGAAACCTGTAAAGATAAGGACACTACACCCTGCAGCTAGTCACTGCTTTTATTGACATTCCAGTGGTTTAAGGAAAGGTGTAAACATGCAGCCCAACTTTTTAGGATTTCCTCTTGCTTCATATTATTTCTAAGAATTCCCTTCTGCTTCGTCGAACCTCTGCGTGATTTGAAGAAATGCTTTCACTGGGGTTCTTTAAAAGGCATGTGTGGACAGCCCACTTACTTAGTGAGAGCTGTGTTGACAGTCATACACTTCGTCTCCTGTTTGGTATTCAGCTCACAGAAGCCTCAGAGCCTCTCTAATGAAGCGCAGACCCACAGTGCCTCACTTCAGCCCAGCAGACTCAGGGTGATCGTCTCAGGCTAGTGAAAAAGGGGAGACGGAGAACCACAGACAAGCTCTTAGCCCCTAATTAGTTATATTGGGGGATTACTGACAGTGAAAATAATCAGGAAGAATTTAGATTTATACGCTAGGGGGTTTATTGAATTTTACATTTTACACTATTCACTATCTTGAAGTCTAGAGAGACAGAAAAAAAGAGTCTACATTACTGTATTTAATCTTAGCACTGTAAGCATGGCAGTGCTGCAAACAAATGCCTTTACAGCTAAACAAGAAAGTTTTCAGCTTGTAAATCACAGTAAAGAGAGTAAACAGGACTGACCACTTTTATTATCTTTAAAAACTTGTGACACACAATACATTCCTTTCTCTTGTTAGGAGCTACTCCATCACGGCTGTGACTGAGTGTTAATTACAGCTGTTTTTTTCCCCTTTCACCCAGGGCTGCAGAGCTGTGAATCCTTACAGGTTCTGCAGCTCTCCTTCAACAGAATCTCAACCCTACGACCACAAGACTTCAGCAACCTTCAGCAGCTAAAAGAGCTCAACCTAAAACATAACCTCCTCACGAGTCTCCATCCACAGACGTTCATGGGTTTATCCCAGCTCCAGGTAACACTGATTGTTCAAGACATGCACACAGTGTAATCAGACAATACACTTTGTGATGCCATATGTTGTTCATCAGGAAAGCAAAACAAAATCCGCAGACCAAGAAGCTCCCGTCTGAAGGATTTATTAAGTTACACTTCAAGCCGACATGCTCTTCCTCACAGTTGTTGGCTCGAAACGTCATTTAATAAATTCTTGAAAACGGAAGCTTCTTGGTCTGAGGATTTTGTTTTGCATTCCTTACCTATTCATGGTTTTTGGATCCAGCACCTACTTTGAGATGTGCATGTCTTTTTTTGATTTTTCACATGTTGTTTTCTGTATTCTTAAATTAAACTTCTATGCATTTTAATTGAAAAACAGTGTTGGGTAACATTACTGTTAAAAGTAACATGTAACTCTGCAGCCTAATAACAGGAACAACAGTCGAGATCACCTTTACGGTTCATTATAATGCTAACAATCTGACAGGGAACTGAGCAGGGGCATACAGTATGAGGCACAGACTTTTAACCAACACGAGCTTGTGAACTTACATTTCAGCATTGTGTTGTTCTGGTCCCTATTGTACAAACAATCAACATGCCGGGAATATTTACACAAAGAAAATGCTGTCCTCTCTGCCATCTTGCTAGTTGAATAAGTTAGCTATGAATTCAAAATGACGTACCACAGGTACTACCTGCGCAGAAGTTAGAGAAAAACAGAGATGGTGTGGGATTTTCTTTTTGTGGCAAAAAATAGTTATAAGGGATAACTAAAAACAAAAAAGTAACCCAAGCACTCTGACGGATTACTTTGTAACATGTTACCCCCAATGTTATTGGAAAATATTCTTCTTAAAGGCTTTATATGCGATTTTTTGATCCAGCAGATGTCGCTTTGAGCACCAGCAAGAAACCAAAACAACTCGCGCTGCATTGTTGTGTTAGCATGATAATGCTAGCGATCTTTATTATGCTCGTATCTTCACACTGCATGTAAATTTACCTGAAATGAGCGTGATCTAGAAACACAGTTAAGCAGTGAGTACAGTATGTTATTCTTCTTTTCTCTAGTCCCTCAATTAAACAATCTTTTTACACAAAGGGAGGAGTCAGCCGGCCGTCCCGGCGATGTAAACAAAGTGAAGATAGGACTCTGAAAACTCTGAAAACATCACAGACAGTGGGACAGTGTGTTACACCCATTGTAGACAGTCATGACTCAGAGTTATTTTCAGAGGATATACTTGATTTCTATTATATTTAAGAGTGAAAAATCACATATTAAGCCTTTAAAGCATTATCAATTCATTTACATGTCCAACATCTGTTTTATGTCGACATTGTGTCCCCCTCAAAGGTCCTTGATCTGAGCTTCAACATGTTGACTAGCCTTCATCCGTCGATGTACCTTTCTCTGCACAACATTGGTGCACATGTAAAGCTGGCTGGGAACAGGTGGAAGTGTGATTGCAGTATGCGCAGTTTAAGAAGGCGGATGGGCTATGATAGCAGCAGAGGCCTGCATGCTTGGAGCCTGGTGTGCGCTTCCCCCTCCACACTCTCAGGAAGGGATCTGCTACATTTGGAGGAAGATGACCTAAACTGTTTTACAACTGAGAACAGACCAGAGAGCCATCAATCTGTGAAAGTCTTCAGTGGTTCTGAGATATTACTCTCTTGCTCCGCACAAGGTAACAGTCAACAAGCAAAAAATATTTCACACATACTGCATATAACACTTCATGCATTACTGTATCACTCTGAATCCATGCTAATGGTTTCTCTCCCGTAGATTCAATGGGATGGATGCCCAGTGGTCAAGCATCTGTGAACCAACCTGAGGCTGGTCTTCTCATCAAGGACCTCACAGAAAGGGATACAGGACTATATGTGTGTGTTTCTGAAGAACAGGACGATGTGTCTGTTTTTAACCTCCAAATCAGCAAAGTAGGAGGTGTACAGAGAAAAGCTCGAAGTGTGCCTGGAAGCAGTAGTCAAACAATCTCACAAGGCATTCCAGAGAGAAAAGACAATGAGAGGAATCAGAGAGCGACCTCGTCTGAATTGGCTCTGGCTGTGTGTTTGTCTATTTTATTCACGTTTCTGGTTGCCTTTATCCTCGGGGTCCTAGCAAGACCTTGTATCGATGTTCTTTGGAAAAGGTTCTACAAAAAAAAAAGCTCCCCGGCCACAAACACTGTCTCAACTGTAGAACAAAGCCAATATGACAATGACGCCTTCTGCGATTTAGAGGAACAAGAGGTGAGAGGAGCTCACAGGGAAAGGAGAGTCACATTCAGCACTGTAGACTTCAAAGAAGACAGCAATGTGCAGTATTATGACACTGTAGCCAATGATGATCAGCAGAGCATTAATGATGACGGGTTGTTATATGAAGCAGTTGGCGATATGAAAGATGGAGCTCGTGATTCAGAAAGTGAAAACAGCTCTCAACAGAGTCCAGAGGATAACCAGAGAGACAGCAGAAATCTGTCAGGCACTACTCATGCAGGGGTCACAATCACCGAGAGGAGGCACTCGTCTTCCTCGGATTCTTCACTATCTGAAAGAGAACGTAATGAAAAACAAATGACCCGGCAAGACCAAACCAGACCCAAGTCTCCACAGCTGGTAGAGGACTCTATGCAGCAGAGAGCTAACATGTCATCAGCTGGAGAGGTGTCACATATCTCCATTAAGGCATTGACAAATGAAGAAACTGGATTTTCTTCTGAGCCTTTTGCAGGTTGGTCACCACAAACAAATCAGACAAACGGAGCAGACCCTGATAAGTGGCAGGGATATGAAGAACAATTTGAATTTAGCGATTCTGCTCAAAGCACCTCTTCAAGGTCCAACAGTGTGCTTGGTTCTTTTCATGATTCAAAACTAACTGTCACACCCACTTTGGGTATACAGAAGAGGGGTGATACATCAAGCTCCAGCTCATATTTAAGTGAGGATGAAACAACACATTACACTGTAAATTCAGACCAAGAGGAGGATGTCACTACTGTTTGCCTCAAACAGAATACTACTCTGGAACAGCATATCCATGTTATAGATGCAAACAGGCCCTCAGTGGGAATTAATCATAGTCAGCCTGGTTTAAGGAAAGCACACTCCTTTTCCTCTTCTTCAAGTGAAAGTGAAGGGGAGGACCCACGCTGGCCTTCTCTAGATGTCAAGCATATCCCTAAGATCAAGAGGCGTCTAGATATCAAAGCACCTACTCCAGCCTCTGATTCATTTTCCAATAGTGACAGTGAGGATGAATCAACAAACCACATCAAGAAACAAGTGCAACAACAGACAGAGATGGCAAAGTATCCTATAACAATAACGCAAACTGTGATTCATGGCCAAGGAACACAGTGGCCCATCCAAACACCACCACCAGCTTCTGATTCTTCATCTAGTAGTGACAGTGAGGATGACAGAACAAAATACATTGAGAGGCCTGGGAAAGTGGACCTTCCAGAACTTGGAATTCAGAAACCTCAAACAGATAGTCATGTTCCAGACGCAGGCTGGCCTTCTCTAGATCTCAAGCATATCCCTAAGATCAAGAGGCGTCTAGATATCAAAGCACCAAGTCCAGCCTCTGATTCATCCTCCAGTAGTGACAGTGAGGATGAATCAACAAACCACATCAAGAAACAAGTGCAACAACAGACAGAGATGGAGAGGGTTTCAATAATAATATCTCAAAATGTAAGTCAGGACCAAGGAACACGGTGTCCTGTCAAAACACCATCACCAGCTTCTGATTCTTCATCTGGTAGTGACAGTGAGGATGAAAAAGTAATCTATAGGGAGAAGCCTGGGAAAGTGGTCATTTCTGACCTTGGAATTCAGAAACCTCAAACAGAAAGTCCTGTTCCAGACACAAGCTGGCCTTCCCTAGATCTCGGGCATATTCCCAAGATCAAGAGACGTCTAGATATCAAAGTACCATCACCAGCCTCTTCCAGTAGCAACAGTGAGGATGAACCAACAAACCACATCAAGAAACAAGTGCAAAAACAGACAGAGATTGCAAGGGTTCCAATAACTACATCTCAAAATTTAAGCCAAAGCCAAGGAACACAGTGGCCCATCAAAGCACCATCACCAGCTTCTGATTCTTCATCTAGCAGTGACAGTGAGAATGAATCTACCAAACACATAAAGAAACAGGAACAGCAGACCAACATGGCAAAGCTTCCAAATAAAGGATCTCAAACTGTTCCTCTTGACCCACAAACGCAGTGGCCTCTCCTTGACCTTCAGCAGACCACACACATCAAGAGACGTCTAGATTTCAAAGCAAAATCTGCTGCCTCTGATACCTCTTCTAGTAGTGACAGTGAGGATGACACAACAAAATACATTGAGAGGCCTGGGAAAGTGGACCTTCCAGAACTTGGAATTCAGAAACCCCAGACAGATAGTCATGTTCCAGACAAACTCTGGCTTTCTCTAGATCTCAAGCATATCCCTAAGATCAAGAGGCGTCTTGATGTAAAAGCACCAACTCCAGCCTCTGATTCATCCTCCAGTAGTGACAGTGAGGATGAATCAACAAACCACATCAAGAAACAAGTGCAACAACAGACAGAGATGGAGAGGGTTCCAATAATGATATCTCAAAATGTAAGTCAGGACCAAGGAACACGGTGTCCTGTCAAAACACCATCACCAGCTTCTGATTCTTCATCTAGCAGTGACAGTGAGGATGATAAAGCAATCAATAGAGAGAGGCCTGGGAAAGTGGTCATTTCTGACCTTGGAATTCAGAAACCTCAAACAGAAAGTCATGTTCCAGACACAAGCTGGCCTTCCCTAGATCTCAGGCATATCCCTAAAATCAAGAGGCGTCTAGATATCAAAGCACCAACTCCAGCTTCTGGTTCATCCTCCAGGAGTGACAGTGAGGATGAACCAACAAACCACACCAGGAAACAAGTGCAACAACAGACAGAGATTGCAAGGATTCCAATAACTACATCTCAAATTTTAAGCCATGGCCAAGGAACACAGTGGCCCATCAAAGCACCATCACCAGCTTCTGATTCTTCATCTAGCAGTGACAGTGAGGATGAATCTACCAAACACATAAAGAAACAGGAGCAGAAGACCAACATGGCAAAGCTTCCATTAAAAGGATCTCAAACTGTTCCTCTTGGTCCACAAACACAGTGGACCCTCCTTGATCTTGAGAATACCAGACACATCAAGAGACGTCTAGATTTCAAAGCAAAATCTGCTGCCTCTGATACCTCTTCTAGTAGTGACAGTGAGGATGACAAAACAAAATACATTGAGAGGGCTGGGAAAGTGGACCTTCCAGAACTTGCAATTCAGAAAACTCAAACAGATAGTCATGTTCCAGACATACGCTGGCATTCTCTAGATCTCAAGCATATCCCTAAGATCAAGAGGTGTCTAGATATCAAAGCACCAACTCCAGCCACTGATTCATCTTCCAATAGTGACAGTGAGGATGAATCAACAAACCACACCAGGAAACAAGTGCAACAACAGACAGAGATGGCAAGGGTTCCAATAACAAATTCTCAAAATGTAAGTCAGGACCAAGGAACACGGTGGCCTGTCAAAGCACCATCACCAGCTTCTGATTCTTCATCTAGCAGTGACAGTGAGGATGATAAAGCAATAAATAGAGAGAGGCCTGGGAAAGTGGTCATTTCTGACCTTGGAATTCAGAGACCTCAAACAAATAGTCATGTTCCAGACACAAGCTGGCCTTCCCTAGATCTCAGGCATATCCCTAAAATCAAGAGGCGTCTAGATATCAAAGCACAAACACCAGCTTCTGGTTCATCCTCCAGTAGTGACAGTGAAAATGAATCAACAAACCACACCAGGAAACAAGTTCAACAACAGACAGAAATGGCAAGGGTTCCGATAACAAATTCTCAAAATGCAAGTCAGGACCAAGGAACACGGTGGCCTGTCAAAGCACCATCACCAGCTTCTGATTCTTCATCTAGCAGTGACAGTGAGGATGAATCTACCAAACATTTAAAGAAACAGGTGAAACTGACAGACATAGGAAGGCTTCCAATTAAAGAATCTCAAACTGTAACTCATGACCCACAAACGCAGTGGCCTCTCCTCGACCTTCAGCAGACCACACGCCTTAAGAGGCGCCTGGATTTCAAAGCAAAATCTGCTGACTCTGATACTTCTACTAAGATAAGCAAATCCCAAACAGTAGAACCCAATCCAATTCTAAGATGGCCAGAATTGGGTCCAAGTGCCCACCATGTAATGAGTGGCATAGATCAACCTGAGTCGTCTTCAAGTAGCGATGAAAGTGAAGTAGAGACTTCTGGCCTACATGTGACAGAGGTTGGGGTTACAAGTCATCAAACAGGGACAAAACTGCCTGATCTGAATATGAGTGTCCCCCTCTTCAAGCCTCATTTGAATGTCAAAGCACCATCTCAACCAGAAGACTCCAGCTCTTCCAGCAGTGACAATGAAAGACATAATATAGAGAAAGGTCATGTCAGGATCAAAAATTCTGAGCAGCAGCCAAAGTTACCTAAGATAGGTCTGGGCGTCCCCTACATTAGCAGACGTCTGGATATCAAAGCTCCATCACCACAGCCTGATCCAGTTCTTACACCTGTGTCTCCAAGCTCTCGAAAATCTGAATCAAACTCTTCCACAAGTAAAAGTGAGGATGATAACAGTGTACTCGCTAAACTAGGATTGGGAGCAACTGCAATATCCAAGACCACAGAAAATGATTTAACTGAATCTCCCCGGTTCCCAGTGGTTCAAATTCCTCTAAGTCCAAACGTAGACCATGATATCAAATTAGAAAAGTATAAAGTTATAACTGAAAAAACAAGTGAAAACATCAACACAATGCCAGTAATCAACTCAGAACTTGAGTCACGGTGGGCCACAATGAATCTTGGTGTCTCCCGCTTTAGAAAGCGTCTTGAAATCACATCACGAGCACCAGGACAATCAAAGATGCCTTCATCACCCGAACCTGTCTCCCCTGCTTCATCCTCCAGCAGTGAAAGTGGGGATGAGGGTCAAAGCGGCAGAATACGGCAAAAGAGAAGAGGAATTGGAATGCAAGGAAAAATACATGCAGAATCATCTTCAAAAGCTGAAATTACACCAGTGACTGTTTCTCTCAGTTTGAGTCAAGATAAAAGCTTTGGCACGGCAGAGTTTAAAGAGAGACGGGGAAGACCATCACAAAGCCAGACATCCTCAAGCAGCGAGAGTGAGAATGAGATGGTAGACCACAGTGTACCTGACCTGAGCCTTGGTGTCCCACGTGTGAAGAGGCGTCTGAATGTAAAGACAACCTTTCCAGAGCCAAGGAATTCACTGTCTTCCAGCAGCAATGCTGAGGTGACAGGATACACTGCGACACAAAGCAGACAAGTATTCAATGTGCCTCAATATAGAGATACTGACACACTGATCACTTACAAGCGTTCCATATTCCAAGCCACATCACCATCGAGTAGTCCGCCCCCCTTTAGTGGCCAAACTATGTATGATGATACAAAACAAAGATATACTGAAAATGCACAAAAAGTTCCATCTTACAGTGTCGGAGACAGAAGTACACCTGTTGCTTCAAAGAGATCTCTCAGTAGGAGCATTGATGATTTATTACATAAGAGGTTTGGGAACTCCAAACGCACAACAGAACTGCCACCAGAGTTGAGGTGGACTGGTGTCGGCCGTCATATGCCTGACCTTTCCATCTCCAGTATAGGAAGACGTCAGGATGAAGGCTTTTCATCTCCACCTGCAGAGCCAAAACTTCCCCCACCTGGCTCCTCCAGCAGTGAAAGTGATGATGAAATTAAACAAGACAGGGGAAAACCAGATATTACAGAACATAAAAACCCATCACTTAGTGCTGGCACTGTTTCCTCTGCTTCCACTAGAACCTTTGACACTGTTGACAACTCATCCATCAGCACAAATAAGATTTTGTGGGGTGTATCTGAGGACAAAAGGCGAAGGAAAGGCCTCAGTGCACTGAAAGCCATTTCTTCAGAGAGACAAAAGTGGGACATAGGACAGGGAAATGTGGAAAACAGTGCTTCATCTCTATTTGATGACTATGATCCAAACACTGAAAACAGTTTTCACCATCGTAGGACTGAGGAGTACATCAAGCCCCTGTCCACACAACCACAAACACAAGCACGTCTTTCATCCACTTCAGTAGATGACAGAGGAGCTACAGATTTGTTGTACGAAGTTCCCAGATACAGGAGGCATGGAATTAGAAATAATGAACCACCACAGGAGACTCCACCTCCAGTTCCAGCGACACCACCACCATCAGATGAAGCATTAGGGCTTACATGGATGTCACGACCGAACAGCTGGAGAGAGCGGTCAGATGGAACCAGATACTATTTGCCACAGAGCAGAAACACAGGAGCAACTGACTCCTCTTCACTTGCATCCCAAAAGTCCCTGGAAGTCCATTTGGACTTTTCGAACAATCCCATTACTAAAGTCTGATAAAGAGGTTGCGTCATCCTATACTCTGACAATACAAGCACATGAGCAACAGTTTTTAATTTGGCCAGTCAACTACAGAAATGTAGTGAATTGTTTTTTTATTTCATAAATATAAAGCTTTAAATTGGATGTAAATGTTTGTAATTTATTGTACGGCACTTTTTTTTTTTTTTTTTTTTTAGAGCAGAGGGCCCGTGTTTATCTTTAAAGATTTGCCTTATTTTTGTAAATTACTTTAAACATCACTCATCACAAAGATGAATAATCAATACTGTCATCTTCACTCATACAATGTCAACTAGAGAAGGCAATTTCTGAAGAAACTGTGCTGTGAATGCTGCATGCTGAAAAAGATGGTGTTGTACTGCCAATGCAGAGTCTGAAAAACTGGAAAAATATATGAAATAATCTGAATAATCTAGGAAAGATGTTGAATATACTATGAAAAGGTGACATTTCACTTGTAATGCTGCATAATGAAAAATGTTATTACTATAAATAGTGTAATAAAGATGTTGAACATATTATTAATAGACTAATGTTTCTATTTCTGTGTAAAAAAAATTATTCAGAGGTTTTATTTGTAGCAAGAAGTAAATATACTTACGCATTAATTAGGCACTTCACGGTTTTTTGTTATTGTAACTCATTCAACTTTAAGCCCACATATAAGCCAGTAAGTTAATAAACCCTTTTATTTATGTATATAGACATAGGTTATAGTGAAAACAGACATATAGACACTAACACAGTTTACATACATATATACAGTTGGGACAAGGTTGTTCATCCTCCTGCATTGTAGTGGGAGAATACTAAAACATTCATCTCTACACAGTATTTGGTAAACAATCCGCGACTACTTCGATCTCGGATGTTATGCTGATGGTTGAGGCTTTGTAATGAAAAATAGAGGCTTTAATAGTCACAGCTGCTGTGGATTTTAATGGCATGAAAGCTTGTGTTTTATTTTCAGAACAAATTCCAAAAAGTATTGTATGTGTGTCATGACAGTGTGTTGAAAAAAGTTGCAAAACAAAATGATGTACTTCTAATAAATAAAACAAGAGTCTGTATTCTGGCTTCAGCGTTACAGTTTGTGTAAATGGTGAAAATGCAGGAGGGAACTCCCGTTCCACCGTGAGGTTACAGGCGTGTTCCAGGTCTTAATAAACACAATCATGTTGCTCCTCAGAATTAAGATAACATGACTGTGGATATCAAATTAAACACAAAACACTTGCACAATTTTCTGTACAAAAACAAAAAACACATTTGAAAAATGTTTTCAAAAAATCTCATCCATTCACAAAAGGGCTCTGTTGGAGCGTGCATGCAAATATTAAATCTGACAATTCAGCATCACACCACAGCCAAAGACAAAAATGTATACATGTGTTACAAGAACATTATACTAGGCGAAAAGATCAGCATAGCATCTTCATACAGCTCCAAACTGTCAGTGTCCAATGATTGGTTTAGATCCTATGGGTGGTGCAACGCTTTCAGCAAACCTACCGTTCTACTCAAGCTTCAAGGACCTCGTCCTGAGAGGGTCACTGGTCTTCAAATGTAGTTATTTAACACTGTCAGTGTTGGGAGAGATGCTACAATAAGAGACCTGAAACTAACCGTGGACTAAAGACAAAACAGATGCCACATATCGAGAAAAATGGACACCAGCTAGTTCTATGTCAACTTATAACACAGCCCAAACAGTCTGAATTCATCCTGAAATATTCCCTGACCACTCAGTGTGTCTGTGTGTGCATGAATGTGTGTGTAGTTGTGTGTGTGTGTGTGTGTAGAAGATTGTGTTCTCACACATGTATTTACATTTGGGTTTGTTGGTGTGTGTGTGTGTGTGTGTGGGACACACAAAGTGACTTCCATGTTTTGAGGCACAGTAATACTCTTACCTACACAACGTAGAGACATTAACTGGTCACCAGACCAATCAATGCTGATCAGAGCACTAGGGGCTCTCCGCTGTACTGTAATAAGAGTTATTAAGCAGCAATGCAGATTTGTTTGGTGTTATGAGGTCTGAGGCCTTTGTAGGGGGGGTTAGCAAACTGTTAGCATTAGCTAGAGCCAAAAACAGCAGGAGGGAACAGAAACTGGAGGGAAAAGAATCACTGGCACAAATCAAAAGAAGTAAACAGCACAGGCATCAGAAACCTGCATCCATCCGACCGTTTGACACAGTGTGCTTCTTAAAGAACTCCTAACTCAAAATATGACAAATGTTAAGTGCCATCTGTCCAGAAAAGCTCAAGTTTAAGTTCATTGCACAGGTAATATCATCTCTCGATGTGCCCCAGGTCAAAGTGACCCTGTTTTAAGACTCAGACACAAAGCATGAATGGTCACTTCTGTTGGTTTCTCTGTGCTGAAGATAAGGACCGAAGAGTGGATCTCCTTCACAATACCATCCTGCTCCTTTCATCCATGTATGACACCATGTTATCCTAACACAGACAGCAATATGACATGTCACAGTGAGGAAGAGCAATGCCGCCTGGGATTGCTGCAAGCTTGCCCACTATGCAACTTCAGTAGGGGACATTACTCCACAATGGCAGCCCTCCGCCTGCACGCTCGGGGCAGCATGCACTCAGGCTGCAAACCTGGTGCAGCCCCTAACCCCTCCCCCCCCACCCCCCACCCCCACCCGGCCCACCCACCCACAGCCTGAACCCCCTCCTCCACCAGGAAGCCCCCCACAGTCACTGCTTTACCGATTTTGTAATGTTTACTTATTGGTTGTCGTTTCTCATAGTTGTCGTTGTCACAGTTGTATTTTTCCACTTTTTGCTCTGCACCTATGACATCTGCCTTTCCTTGTACCATTCCACAAACTCGTCCAACAAAACTGGCCCTGATGAAAGGAGAGGACATAGAATAAAGGCATTCTGTTTGTGGTACATTTACATAAAGATCACATTTATGTGTAGGTATGCATTTACTTACAGGCACCATCTTCGTCATAGTTACTGAGGTCCAGGTTGATTGTCCTGCTGAACTCTAAAACATTGCACCATTGGTCTTTGTTGATGACTTTGTACTTGGATTGCTGTGGAAGAGGAAATAAACGTGTTGCATAATGACAACAGTCTCAAACTGGAATTCAAACAACATTATATTGACTGAAGTGCTCAGCCCTCATGGGTTAAAGACACATTTAATTTCAATAGAAAATTACACGTTTCTTAAAGGCTTCATATGTGATTTTTCACACTTAAATGTAATATAAATCAAGTATATCCTCTGAAAATAACTCTGTGAGTCATGACTGTCTACAATGGGTGTAACACCCGAGTCCCACTGTCTGTGAAGTTTTCAGAGTCCTATCTTCACTTTGTTTACATCGCCCGGACGGCCGGCTGACTCCTCCCCTCATGTATAAAAGTTGTTTAATTGAGGGACTAGAGAAAAGAAGAATAACATACTGTACTCACTGCTTAACTGTGTTTCTAGATCACGCTCATTTCAGGTAAATTTACATGCAGTGTGAAGATACGAACATAATAAAGATCGCTAGCATTAGCATGCTAACACAACAATGCACCACGAGTTGTTTTGGTTTTATGCTGGAGCTCAAGGGCGACATCTGCTGGATCAAAAAATCACATATAAAGCCTTTAAGGCTTGTCTTTAACGTAATATTCTGTCTTCTTTACCAAGCTTTATTTCATATTCACAATCAAAACCTTATACAAAAAAAGGTTCCCCTCCTGAAACAAAACATGTTTATACACATTCATTGGGTCAAAAGACATCAGCAAAGCTAAGTGGTAATTTTCCTATTAAGTATATAACTTGTGTCATCTTAAACAGGACAAACCTTATTCATCTTCTCATCTTAAAGCTGCTGGTTTCTAGAGTTATGAGCCCTAAAAGAACCTGTGCACACAGGCATCTTTGCATTTAGTATACATTTCAAAAGTTACAAATATTGGGTTGGACACCTTTGATTCGTTAAGAAGAAAATGTGGATATGGCACTCGCTTACCTCTAGAAACTGATTAAACACAGGAAAAAGAGGCCACGTCTTTCCCAGAAGAAGCCCCAGCATGCATTTGGCTGTGTTCAAGTCCAGACTCCTCTGATCCTTTTCCTGTCCAATCAAAACACCCGAAGCTCAATGACGTCACAGAAAAAATGTCAACCACACTTTAAACCTTATCATTATGACCAAAATTAGCACACTGCACAAACTAGGCTGAATTCCATAATTCCAAGCTGCCACATGATATATACTGAACTGTTAACACAGGCTTTGTGTCACTTTTTGTATTTTCATTCACTTAACATTGTTTAACGTAGTGTCCACCTGAAAGAACAGTGTCAAACTTTAACATTCATACTGAGACTCTCTATACATTAAAGATTCACCTGAGCATCGGCTTGAATGTGACATTACAAGGTTTCTTATCAGCTCTTCACTGTTCAAATAAACTAAATTAAGTCTGTTTCAGGACTGCAGGAGTTTATATATGAGCATGTTTTTCCGGGAAACACTTTGCATCACTCACCCGAGCAAAATCAAAGGCATATCTATAAATGAGCTTAAAACTGGTGCTGTCGTTAAGGACAGATCTCAGGTACTCGAGCGAGTTTCTCAGCCTCTCCGTGGAGTCGCACCTGACAACAAGAGAAAAGTGCTTAAGACATGCTCAATGTGGAAAACTCTAAAATGATTGGAGATAGAAAAAACCCCCAGAAAGGAATCAATATTGTCACTATACCAATATTGAAAGGATCATGAAAGAGACTAAAAGGGAAGTGACATACTGCAGTGAGCCCATGCCTCTCAGCCACTCCTGGAGGGTAAAATAGCCCATACTCTGAGCATCCAGCTTCCAGGCCAGAACCAACATCACCACCTGGGCACAAACAACAACCTTTATACCTTTAGACAACATCAAAGCTTGATTAGAGAATAGGAAACAAATATATTTAGATGAAGCCTAATAGGTAAAGTATTTCCTGATCAAGACACATGGTGGGATATGCTGAAATCATTAAATCTTTGGAACATGCTGAGAACGCAGTTGCAGTATGTGTCCTCATTTCAGGACACACATTTTCTTGCCAGTTACCAATCTCTGCTGTGTGTTTAAAATGGACAAATTAGCCAAACATTTTGCAGGCCTGGGGTCAAAAAGAGTATATATGGTTGTGTGTACCAACATAAATCAGTCAGAAAGAAAGGCAAAAGGATGCAGTCAGCAGTGACAGGCAACCTGCCTTTTACCATTAGTGAATAGGAGGTCGTGTTCAAGTGTTGGTTGGGGAGTGTTTTGTATCCTATTCTATTTTAGCTTAATCTTGCTGTTTTTTTAATGTAGTCTACCGTAGCTTTTTTTGTTCGTTTGTTAGAATCCATGTGTGCTGTACCCTAGACAGGGATTCCCAAACTTTTCAGCAAGCGACCCCCAAATAAAGGATCCAGAGACTGGGGACCCCCACTGTCCCAGGAGGTGGTCAAGTCAAGGCAGAACACATAGTGCACAGCCTCACACACACATTCTTTCAATAATGGGTAAACTATACAATTATAGTGTTACTTTAAAAAAATATGTTCAAATGGAAGACAGCTAGTCTTCCTGGGGTCCATATAAAAAAAAACCCACCAGTATGGGAACATCAAAATGTACGTACTATGTGAACATAATTTAGCACTTCAGGCTTCACAAACCATCATATTTAAAAATATCGTTTACGCAAATCAAGACATTTAAAAATCTACATTCAACTTGACAATCACTTCTGTCAAACATAATAATGTCAAACACAAGACATGTATTTAAAGCACATACAAACACCTATGTGTTTGTATCTTACAAATATGATGCCCAAAGGTGTTCCTTTAGTTGCTTTTTAAAAAGAGATGAGAGATTTTTGTGTTAATTTAGTCAGTAACATTGGTAAGGAATTCAAAGTTTTCATTTCTTTATATAATACTGTAGCTTTAAGGAAACTGGTGTTTGCTTTGGGTCAGACAAACTGGACTTTTGTTGCTTGTTTTCTCCCAAATATACGATTCTAGTCTGTAAAAATAAAAAGGTGTTTTTTAAGTTGCAAAAGTTTCCATCTTGCAAGTAGCTGTTGATGTAAGTGCTGTACAGACACTGAAGACCGTACATACAGGTGTGCCACCTTGTTTTGTACTATCTGCAGTGTGCTTATATCTTTATAGGAGAACCACTTTATCCGGCCATACACAAGCTTACCCAGAGCAAGTATTTTCTGCATCCCCTTACAACAGTCTTCCCATTTTATTGACAACAGTGTCAATAGTTTCTTTTATGGAGAAGATGTATCAATAAAAAATAAAAAAGTCTGATCCATGTCAAAAACAGAAAAACACTGACCTCCATAACTCTCCAAACCAAATGAGAACCAGTATAAAAATGAGGCGACCCTGAAGTAAAACTAGCTCTGCACATATTTGAGAATAACTGAATAATAATCAGAATGAGTATCACATTAATACAACCAAAATTAACTGCTTACTTTTACTGAATGTAAGAGAGAATAAAGTAAAAAATGAAAATACAAATAAAAAACTAGATCAAACTCAGACCATACAAATATATGCAAACTAAAGGAATCACCTAAATAAAGACAATACAAAGAAGTCAGCTTACATTCTCCGGCTCCACTCCAATGTCTTCACAGAACTTCTCCATACCGTCGGGACCCACCACTTCATCACAACCTGTTTCAAACAGACAAGTGTGGAGCTAATGCAGTGATATACATAAACAACAACATTTGATTATATGAATGACGTGACCACTTGTACAGTGCTTTAAAATATTATATTCACCTGCATATTCATAGAACCACTCCAAACATCTTTTACTGGAAAATGTGTCCTCCTCGCGGATTTGTGTTGTCTCGTGTTTTCTGAAAACACTGCAGATGTAAAAGAGAGTTTTCAGGTCAACTTCAGCAGCACTAGAGTCACAGGTGTGTAGCCAATAGGATCTCTAACAGGCTTTACTTAATACTAAAGAAATACTTCCTGCGTACATCCCTCTACATTTGGACAATCAGCCTTCTCTGTTATTGGAGCTAATCTATGGAATGGTGTACCCACTGAACTGAAAATGCTCCACAGTTTGAATGTTTTTAACAAAGGTATTAAATCATGGCTGAAGGAAAAACAACATTGTTCTCACACCTAAACGCACATAAGCTCACAAATGTCTGTCGTATATTTTTCTCTTTGTAACTGTGTTTTATCCCTGTTGCATTCATAACTGTGATGTATTTATAACTGAACTGTTTTCATTTTCTTACCATTTTTATCTTTATCTCTGTTGTTTCTAAAAGCCTCCTGTGGACAGGTGTTGCAAATAAGCATTTTGCTATGAACACTAAGAGCATCTGGAACTTGTGCATGGTTAAATGTTACAGAACCAATGTTACTGTCCATGTTAAATAAACAAATAAATAAATACAACAGACACTTTGGTCAGAGAGTTGGTTACAGCCTCGCTCTTAAACAAAGCATCACACCTGTCCTGTCGACTTTTCTTGGCTGACATGTCATCCCCAGCAGAGGGTCTCCTCTTTTTCCTAGGAGGCATGGCTCTGGGGCAGCAAGCTGGGGAAGAAAGCAGACAGCAGGTTGAAAAGGGTGCTACTTATTCATACATTGATGATGCATTTTTTTCCTCCTCCCTGGAAAGCATGTAGTAAAAGCTAGTTTTGGCAGTAGTTTCATGTATGATCACACAACACCTGTGCTGACGGCATGTGAAGGCATACTGCAGGGTTAATAAAGGTTGTATACCTGCAAAAGTCATGCAAAAGTCTCAGCTGAATAAGTGTAATTCTTTACTCACCTTTGCTGCTAGAATAAATATTTTATTACAATGGTGTGTAAATCAGAGTCTGGCAACCCTCTGAATTGTCTGGGGGCTTTTCTCTCTGCCATTGTCTTACGAGGAGTCTCCTGAGTCTGAAATGCAACCTATGACCTATCTGTAATGCAGACAGTTTCCTGTAACATGTGTGATTTTACTGAGCTGTTGTTTTTTGTTTCTACTTGTTTGGCCATGTCACTGTGACTTTTAGAGTTATTTCATTCTTGTGGAAAAATAAGAAAATGTAAGTAACTGTTGTACATGGACTATGAATCACACAAGAAGCAGAAGAATAATAATTACCTGAAGGGTGGCTATCCTGTCCAACGTCTTCTGTCAAGTTCTATAAAAACAGAAGCATGCTTGTGATCAGGATACACATATTCACATCTGACACAATTGTGTAAACACACAACTTAAATATGTAAAACACACAAACTGCTAATATGTATTTACCAGCCTGTGCAATGTGTGGTGGATCTTATGGATGCTGGCCAGTGTAGTCAAGTGGGAATTCAGCTGAAAATCTATTTCAGAAGAAAAATATCAAAGATTTAACTCAAAAGAAAAGACACAAACCTTCTGCACCAACTCACACTTGTAAGCCTGCTACCAGCACAAGGGTACGAGAAGGTGACATCATCTTAGCACAAATAACCACCTATGATTTCAGCTTTTGTCCGTGATCAATACATCTCTTTAGTGCTTAAAATACTTTGGTTTGATTTCTACTTTCAGGTTTTACGTTTCATTGAACGACAGGAGATATCTGACACGAATGAGGGGGTGACTCCCTGCATTCCCCTAAAGACAGGCTATCTCTAAAATTCACCATCATGCATACCAACTTGTCGCAAAATGTCATCTGTGCATTGTCGTTCAACAGCTGTCATCAGAAAAAGAGGCTTTAAATGGATTTGAAGAGGCCAAAACCAGACGGAAAACAGGCTAGCTTCACTAGCTGCATACCTAAAATAGCAGTGCATACGCGCAACTTGCACAGAGTTTACAAAGTATCAAGAGAGTTTGGCGTATGGGTGTTGTAGTCCATTTCCTTTGAAGAGGCCGTTTTAACATAAGCTCTGGCTGTGATTCGAAACTACAATTCCCATGCCTGACCAGCACAACTCTTTTCTTTCAGACCCTTCTGCCCCTAACATTTACCCCAACACACTGAATGCATTTTACCTTGTTTTAAATGAATCTCACTGTATTAACTTACAGGCACATTAGCATTGCACAGGCAGTTTTGCAGGAAGCTGGTGAAGCTGCCGCAAAGCCCGGACAGCGCTGCAGCAGCATGCAATGAAACATCTTTTACTCAACTGCGTCACAATTTTCTTTCTCTGTCACAGTCCGCAGTAGACCAGAAAACTGACCTATTTACACTTGACCTCACGTTTATCCCGAGTTAAACCTGATACATGTGGAGCATCCTCAGTTTTGTTGGATATAAAGATCACAACACACCGAGTGGGCTACCATCGAAAAGCCTCTGAATTACATTACATTATTCTGCTTTACACTGGGCAGCGATTACGATACACAAAACACAACTCCAGGAAACCATGGGACAGAAATCTAACCTCCCGCATGACCAAAACACCTGGATTTACACTCCCTATTCTTCCTTTGTTGTCGCCCAATACAGCACAGCTTAATACAAAGAGCCAAGCAAACTGCACGTAATACACTCGTCCTCATCAAGCCCAGAGAAAGAGAAGGATAAAAGTGGATGAAGACACACGAAATGTATGTTCCCCTCTTTAAGACAGACTGCAGTATCCGTGTTGGGTCGCTATTTGGCGAAGAAAAGCCTCTAAAGCGATACTACTTACTTGCCGCATCAGAGTGCATTTTTATGAAACATACAACTGTCTGTGGGAAGTCCGCAGACCGGCCAATAGGCGGGCCTTGTCAACGTAAGCCCCGCCCACAGAACATGATTGGAACCTAAGCCTGTCTGATCTCCGCCTTTACTCAGTGGTGATTGGTTATTTTCAGTGTCAAGTAAGGAGAAGGCGGAAGTTGAAATACAACCCCGCCCTTTGTTGATTTGATTGGTCAGACTTCCCAAACAGGCTGAGCTACTTCTGTGATTCATTGGTCGAGAGGTTTTTCACCTGCACGTCACTCACCAGAATTTCCTCGTGCAAGTCTGAAACCAGCCCACGATGCAATCTGATTGGTCAGTTTGGCTTTTTATTGACCTCCCCACTCCAACTTCTGTTTGGGTTTGTTTGCTGTCTACTCAGCCGGGCGGAGATTCATGGGGCAGCGTATTAAAATGTAAGTTTCTTCATGATTATTTAGTATTTGTGGCCGAGTGTGTTTTGGTCCTCTTGTCTAAAAATATTTAAACTTATTGTTTATAGGAAATTCCTGGATTTCAATGAAATCGGATGAACACTCTCATGCTTTGTTCAATCTCGTTTTTCCGATGTGTCCAACACCACATGAATGCACCATTTGACACAAGCTTATGGTGCATTCAAGTGGTGTCGGACACATCGGAAAAACGAGTTTCCGAGTTGTAAAATGTGCATGAATAATATTTACAGTCTATGATGAACACCTACTCAAGTCGGAGCAACAACTCGGAAACTCAGAAAACAAGTAGGTGCCCGAGTTGCCGACTTGACGTCAATTTCGTCATCAAAATAGCCGATAGTAAAATAGTGTTAAAAATACTTTTTTAATAAGTCAGGTATTGCACATCAACTTTTTGCTCATGCTATCGCAGCAGTACTGCACACAGCCTATGATTTGTCTCAGGCACCTTAGTTTATATTTTGGATGAGCATGCTGACTGCTGAATTTAAAACTTTTCCCCCTTATAGAATAATTTAGGGTATTTTAAAGAATTGTATTTTCTCTGAACCATTTACAATACAGATTATCTTTTTTTTTTTTTAACTAAACAACAAATAAAAACAATTATAACTAAAACTAAGAGTTGTTACAAAAAAAACTTAACTAAACTACCAAAGAGTTTTTCCTTGCCATTATAGCTTTGCTAAATGTGCTTAGTGCTGTGCTCATGATTAAATACTGTTGGGTCTTTGTATAATATAACAAAGAGTAAGGTCTTTTACCTGCTCTTTTGTAAAGTGTCTTGAGATAACATTTGTCCCAAATTGGTGCTATTCAAATTAAGATTAATATGATTGATTGATTTATTTATTGACAAAACTACTGAAAAAAACCCAACAAATTTAAACTACACTTAAATTGAAACGAAACAAAATTTGTGAAGCTATATTAAGAATTTTTTTTTTTTTTAATTCTCAGCAAGTTATATATTTGACTGACAAAGACATACAGGACAAAATCAAATAGATTTGAGGTAGGCTGGTGCTTTGTCCACAGGGGGCGCCAAAGTCAACACAAACAGAAAAGCATCCCCAGATGTTCTTTTTGTAATATTATGTACTCAACATTTATCCACCATTAGAAAACACTTGGCAGGGAAAGTTACACTACATTTCCATCATAAATTACCCTCTTTGCTGGACTGGAAAAAATAATTGATAAATAGTACCATTTCTACTTTACCTGTTTGTGTCTGCAGGATTAAAGCTACTGTTTGTTAGTTTGTGATTGTAACTACCGGTAGTAACTACAGGTAGTAATGCACAGGTAATGGAGTGCACTTCTTCAGAGATGTTCCATTTCATAATGATATCACAAATGACTCAAATGTGGTCTCAGCATTGGTGAGTAGGTCAGTTTGAGAACCTTTCTGATATCATAGTGTTTACACCTTGAATAAAATCAACATGTCTCTGCAGAAATCAATCAATCTTTTGAGAGCCACTGAAGACGAAGCGACTTTATGTCATTTATCACGTGACAACTGCAAAGATAACTAAGTTTGAGTATCTCAAAAGTATTTCTTAGCAGTCCTTTGCCTGTGAAAAGACCGCCACAGTTATAACATTGCACAAAAAGTAAGGAAATTTGTGTTTAGTAGATTATTTCTTTGTTGTAACAATGCTTCTTGGCAATACATCTTATACCATTGGAAAGCCTGTTTATATGGAGTTAGATCAGTCTCAATATTCACGAATGCACACAGAAGGATTTACAAATGTATTTCAATGCACACACAAATATATTTAATTCTATATAAATGTCAAACAAATCCACAAATAAAAAAATCAGATTAACAAATGTATTTCTGATTCACACACATATTTATAGTTTTGTAGATATGTAATAGAAATCCACAAATATATGATATACATATATAACTCCATATATTTATTTCCCTTTTTTAAATGGTGCCACATTTATAAGGAACATGCATTTGTGAGATAAGCAGCAGAGCTGAGTATGGGTTGCACCCAAGCATGCCATGTTTGACTGATCTGGATAGGGTCCGTGACATAGGGCTCCTTCAAGCTGGTGTTTCACACAACCAAGTTGCAGCATTATTTGAAATGAGCCCAAGTACCATCTCCAAACTGAAGACCAAATTCCATATAACGGGGGATGTCAGACACAGGCCATGAAGTGGGCGACACCCCAAGAAGACAGTTTCCTGACCCTGTCAGCACTTCAGAACCGTAGGCAGTCTTATACAGATTTGCAGTCAAGGTTTGCAGGTCGATATGGCCGACGGCTCTCTGGACAATCCTGAACAGACTGCTGGTCTCATAAGGCTGCCAGGAGGCCTGCCATGACTGCCGTTCACCATCAGGCCCGTTGGCGCTGGTGTTGGCAACACGTGCATTGGAACCTGAACATATGCAGGAACATTATGTTCAGCGATGACTCCAGATTCTGCCTACGTCAGTTAGATCATAGAGTCAAAGTGTAGAGAACATGCGGAGAACGCTATGCTGATTGCTGCACCAATAGGGTAACAGCTTTTGGTGGAGGCAGTGTGACGTGTAGGGCGGCATCTCCCTCACTGGAAAAACAAGGCTTGTCATCATTGGAGGTAATCTCACTGCAGACAGATATCGAGATGAGATTCTGCAACCAGCGGAAATCCCATATCTCCAGAGTCCGGGACAGAACTCTTTCCTCCAAGATGACAACGCTCGACCCCACAGAGCGGAGTTTATCAGAGTGTACCTCCAGAATTTGGGAGTGAAGAGGATGGAATGGCCTTCCTGCAGTTCTGACCTCAACCCCATTGAACACTTTGCGGGATCAGCTTGAGCATGCTGTTCGTGCCAGAGTGACCAACACAACCACATTGGCTGACTTGTGATAAATGCTGGTTGAAGAATGGGATGACGTCCCACAGCAGTGTGTGACCAGGCTGGTGACCAGCACGAGGAGGAGGTGCCAGGCTGTTGTGGCTGCGTATGGTTCTTCCACATGCTACTGAGGCTCATGTTTGTTAAATGAATACATTCTGAAATTGCCAATATGTCTTGTTTCTTTAGACTTCAATCATCCAATCCACTAAACAACACTAAACAAGAGTCAACAGCAGAATAAGCTGTTTGGCAATGGCAGAGAAGATTTGGCAAGTTTATCAAGGGCACAACCCACATACTCAGCTCTGCTGCTCATCCCACAAATGCATGTTCCTTACAAATGTGGCACCATTTAAAATGGAAATAAACAGGATAGGGTATAGTATAGTATAAGATTTATTGCCAATAGGCATTGTTACAACAAAGAAATAATCTAACAAACACAAATGTCCTTACTTTTTGTGTGATGTTTATAAACTTGCCTTATCACAAAGAGGCTGAGTTGCTTTAAATGTGCAGAACAATTCTTCAAAATGTGTGCTTTGTTATTTGAGAAAATAAGGATATTTTGAGAAAGACACTGAACCACTCTTCAGTGTTAGTATTGGACGTGACTTAGATATCTCGGCATTTATCAACAGCAGTAATAAATCTTTCTGTGATGAAACTTCTAATAACCATAAAAACACTCCCTGACCTTTGGATATGTCAGTAGGCGTTATACGAACCAATGTATCCCTGTATCATTTCTCCTCTGTTGAATAAAATAGTCTCTAAAGACTATGTTTTGAGTCAAAGCTTGAGTTTAAGTCGGTACATAAGTGATGCTGAAGTATGAAGTAGACGAACAGTCTTTGGTTTGAGTAGCGAGGAATAAACTGTATGTATAATAACAACATTCAGTTAGCTTTCATGACTGGACTCTCTTATGTCTTAAAGCAGACTTTATTGATACATTTTTATAAAACTATGCATGTCAGATATAAACTTTCCTTC